TAGGTGGGGCAGCACCCCACCACTTTTGATTTGGTATGTTAAATTGATGCAAAAGCGTTGAAAACAGCGACTAAGTAGGCCTACTGTTTTTTAGACTCTTGCCTCATAAATCGTCAACTCACACACTATGTCCTTCTTATCAGAGTGCTGCTGTGTGTGTGTGTGTGTGTGTGTGTGTGTGTGTGTGTGTGTGTGTGTGTGTGTGTGTGTGTGTGTGTGTGTGTGTGTGTGTGTGTGTGTGTGTGTGTGTGTGTGTGTGTGTGTGGACGTGTTTAACTGTACTTGTGAGGACCAGAATTCCCCACAAGAATAGTAAACCAAGAAAAATTTGACCAACTGGGGACATTTTGTTGGTCCCCACAAGGTCAAATGCTATTTCTAGGGGGTTTAGGGTTAAGGTTAGAATTAGTGTTAGGGTTAGAATTAGGTTTAGGGTTAGGGTCAGGAGATAGGCTTAGGGTTAGGAGCTAGGGTTAGGTTTAGGGTTAGGGTTAAGGTTAGGTTTTTGGGTTAGGGTTAAGGTTAGGGTTAGGGTTATGTTTGGGGTTAGGGGTTAGGGAAGATAGGATTTTGAATGGGACTGAATTGTATGTCCCCACAAGGTTAGCTGCGCAAGACTGTGTGTGTGTGTTTGTGTCTTGACCAATCAGATTCACTGAAATCACAGGTTGCGTGGGTCAAGCATGGCCCACATCTGTAGAAAGCAGTGCACACTCCACTTTCCTCCGGTATTATTTAGCAAACTGAAAAGAACTCACTCCCAATAGACACAAGCAAAAACTCTTTACAGAAATGTTGTAGCAGCCTACACATTTGCGATCTGACATGCTGTATCAGGCTGATCAACTGTCAGCCTCTATGTGCCATGTCCTATCTGCCCATGGGAAACAAAGCAGTAAACAAGGAGCACTGCTCAAACCCAAAACCTTCTCCATATCTACGCTTATAAACCAGGGTCGCTACCGTATTTATATTCTAAGCCAATTTATTTATGTTAAGAGAAAATGTGAACGTGATCAAATTTTGTTTGTATTCAAACCTTGGTTGGCTACGCTACCTAGGCCTTTTTAAATCCAAAATGTATTAAATCAACAAATAGTGATGACATAGGCTAGACTGTGTTAATGCACCTGTAACGGAAACCCCCCCATTAGTCTAGTTTTAAAATATAATTAATATGAACAGGTACAAGGTTGCTGCAGTTTGACAGGGTTTTCATCCTCCCTATAGGGCCAGGTGTTTTTCCAGTTTAAAACTATGTGACCTAATTAGAAAAACTCTGTTCTCATCATAGCCCATATATAACCGTTTTGCAACGGATTAATCACTATGTCAAGCGTTACACAGAGATTAATTTTAAGGTCTGAAAGCACTTTGCCATCGACCAAGTCAGCAGTATTTCTGGATTGCCCGAAGAATATGGTCACTTGCCGGAAAATGGGAAAATAGTTGTTTACACACAGAAATACCATAACTTGTCGGTCTCTTAATTAAACAAAACAATCTGTTTTACTGGCCCGCTATATCGGACGCGTTGGCCTAACTTTTGCAGATCGTTAGATGCTCCTTTTAATTTCAATGAAACCTGGGCGTGAGCCGCCGGCTACACGAAAGGTTTGCATTGCTTGAGCGTACAATTACTGTTGCAAACTAGGACAACATTTTGCCGGGAAGCCCAATTCCCCAATCACTGGCGAATCCTCTCACAATGATCTCAAACTGTGTTTTTAATACACAATGAAATTAAACACAGAATAGCAAAAATAATTTTGAAAATGTATTTCCTTTAGTTCTGTAAAGTTCATTGAGAACCAAATTCTGTAGTATTATAAAGTAAACATTTCATCTCATCTGTCTTCTGCCTTCAGGCAGGCGGAGGCATAGGGAAATCATTTTGGCATGCAAAAATGTGCACTTTACAATGGATTCAAGGAGTAAAATAATTTTGAATAATTTTAAAAATGGCATGTGTAAATAATATGAAATTTATAGTGTAAATTTACTTTTATATAATGACATTACCTATGAAGTGTAATCAAGAAAACTATAAGCCTCTAAGCACTATAGAGTTGTTCTAGCTGATAGTGATATTTCACAATTTTGTGTCTGTGTGTCTGGGCTAAACTGCTGACTGTTAAGGTGCGTGTCTGCCGTTTCTCTCTGTAGTCTGTCTCTGTTTCAGCACAAGTGAAAATCACTTATTTACATGAAAATACATTTGACTATTTAATAAAGAAAAAGAAGAACCAACAGGACAGGACATTATACAATCAAAATAGGGAGGAACTCCACAACCATACAACACAGAATTTAAAATATTGTTAAAAGACATTTCCATTCATACAGATCTACATGCATACACTCTCTCTGCCAAATGCCACTAGGCCCCAATGTCTGATAACAAAATCCCACAGTATGGAGGAGTCCACCAGGGAGTTTCTCTGTCTGTACTGCCCAAGGACACCAAGATGATGCATAATCATTCAGGTTCTGTCTAACTACTGATACTTGAAAAGCAGAATGTTGTACATCAAGAGGGGGCTGAACGAGAAATTAAACAATGTTGACAAGTTTGGATTTTGCAGTAAGGACTTTCTGAAAGGAGTTAGCTTGGATAGTCCATCTGTAGATGCTCTACAGACTATCAGTAACATTTCAACTAACTATCTACTAACCCTAACCCTAGCATTAACCCTTATCCTAAACCTACATGTAACCCTTACCCTAACCCTAACCTTAACCCTTACACTAACCCTTATTTTAAACCTAACCCTAACCGTAACCTTAGGAAGCAGTTGCTTATCAACATATAGTTTGTTGATAGTATGACCATCTGTAGAGCATCTGCCGATGGACAATCTGGACTATCCAAATAAAGTGTGAGCAGGAGAGAAGTATACTAAGGTTATGTAAAGTAACTCAAGTACTAAATAGATGGCAGTGCAGTCTGGCGAGGGTGTCATTAGAGCAGTAGGCCTGTGATTCAGACCAAGAGTATCCTTTTTGCTTCTCAAAATCTTAAATGGCACATTTGAAGACTGCTGACAAATAAGTTTTGTCTTGCAGTTGGTTGTATAGTACAGGTTCTCTGTGATTTTCTGTAGTTTGAGCTTTCCGGAAATATTCAATGCAAAACACTGTATCACCACCTCCTGGTGATACGATGCCATTGCAGTTTAATCAGAGTCCTGAGGACATCCAATAAAACCACCAGAGGCAAATATCAGAATAGTGTTATTACACTGAACAAAAATATGAAGGCAACATGTAATGTGTTGGTCCCGTGTTTCATGAGCTGAAATAAAAGATCCCAGAAATGCTCCATACGCACAAAAAGCTTATTTCTCTCAAATGTTGTGCTCAAATTTGTTTACATCCCTGTTAGTGAGCATTTCTCATTTGTCAAGATAATCCATCCACCTGACAGGTGTGGCATATCAAGAAGCTAATTAAACAGTATGATCATTACATTGGGGTACCTTGTGCTGGGGACAATAAAAGGCCACTCTAAAATGTGAGGTTTGTCACAGAACACAATGCCACAGATGTCTCACGTTTTGAGGGAGCATGCAATTGGCATGCTGACAGCAGGAATGTCCACCAGAGCTGTTGCCAGAGAATGTAATGGTCATTTTTCTACCATAAGCCGCCTCCAACGTAGTTTTAGAAAATTTGGCACTACGTCCAACCGGCCTCAAAAGGGCAAACCACATGTATGGCGTTTTGTGGGTGAGCAGTTTGTTGATGTCAACGTTGTGAACAGAGAGCTCCATGATGGCGGTGGGGTTATGGTATGGGCAGCCATAAGCTACGGTCAACGAACACAATTGCATTTTATCGATGGCAATTTGAATGCACAGAGATACCTTCACGAAATCCTGAGGCCCATTGTCGTGCCATTAATACGCCGCCATCACCTCATGTTACAGCGTGATAATGCACTGCCCCATGTCGCAAGGATGTGCACACTATTCCTGAAAGCTGAAAATGTCCCAGTTCTTCCATGGCCTGCATATTCACCAGACATGTCACCCATTGAGCACATTTGGGATGCTCTGGATCAACGTGTACAACAGCGTGTTCCAGTTCCTACCAATATCCAGCAACTTCGCACAGCCATTGAAGAGGAGTGGGACAACATTCCACAGGCCACAATCAACAGCCTGATCAACTATTTTAATTTTTTAATTGTACCTTTATTTAGTAAGTCAGTTAAGAACAAATTCTTATTTACAATGACGGCCTACACCGGCCGACGCTGGGCCAGTTGTGCGCCACCCTATGGGACTCACAAAAACGGCCGGTTGTGATACAGCCTGGAATCGAACCAGGGGGTCTGTAGTGACGCCTCAAGCACTGAGATGCAGTGCCTTAGACCACTGCGCCACTTGGGAGCCCAACTCTGTGCGAAGGAGATGTAGGGCTGCATGAGGAAAATTGTGGTCACACCAGATACTGACTGGTTTTCTGATCCATGCCCCTACCTTTTTATACAGACGCGTATCTGTATTCCCAGTCATGTAAAATCCCTAGATTAGGCCCTAATACATTTGTTTCAATCAACTGATTTCCTTATATGAACTGTAACTCAGTAAAATCTTTGAAATTGTTGCATGTTGCGTTCATATTTTTGTTCAGTATAATTAAAAGGACTATTAGCGCTTAACAAGGTAACATATCACACCAAATTAACCATCTAATTTAGATCTATTGTGCTCAGTCTTTACTGTAAGCCAGATAAACAATGTGCATAGCTGTCTAACAACCAGTACAGTATGTTATGTTCAGACATTCTACCCACATGATACTTGAATTTCTCTCCTTTCTCTTATCCTGTATTCTCTTATACTGTTAACCTACCTCCTTTTTCCTCATTCACATCCACACCCCCACTCCCACTCCCACCTCCACTCTCCTCCCCCTCTCTGTTCAGTCACTTGCTGTGACTACCGCCCAGCTCATGGAATTCCTCAAAGTTGAGCACGCCTATTTCATTGAGTGAGAGCTACCTCCTGGGGTTCCAACTAAGCTCACTTTTCTGTGTGAGTGGACATCTGAGGAGTGAATACAGAACACACTACTACACCTCAGCTTCATCTACAGAGTAAGTGGCCAACTGTACTGTTCTGTACTTCTGCTTTTAACTGTGATCCACTAACTCTAGTAGCTATAATTCAGTAATGTAGTGTGTAGTGAGTAGAGAGTATGTGTGAGAGGACAGGTTGCTGTGTGCAGCATGTATGTGGTTGAAACTGGCCTTTTGGCATTTAGTTCATGCACCTAACAATGAACACCAAGGTGTTAGCACTAAAATTAAAAAGGTATTGGTTTTGTGTGTCTGAATTAGACGTTGTTATTTCTATGACCGCCGTAATGCCAGTCCCACTGGTGTGGTATTTCATGGTGCAGTGTTTGTTTTTGTTGACATTCCACAACTGATTGGTGGTTGTCTCCTGCCTATCTTATATCTGTTGACTGCAGCTGCACCAAATCCCATGTTAAACAAACATGTTTGGGGGGGAAAACGTGGAAAAACACCACACAAAAACACTACAGTGCCTTCAGAAAGTATTCATATCCCTTGACTTATTCCACATTTTGTTGTGTTACAGCCTGAATTCAAAATTGATTCAATATATTTTTTCTCTCTCACCCATCTACACACAATACCCCATAATGACAAAGTGAAAACAAGTTTTTAGAAGTTTTTGCAAATGTATTGAAAATGAAATAGAGAAATATCTCATTTACATACGTATTCACACCCCTGAGTCAATACTTTGTCGAAGCACCTTTGACATCATGGGGTATTGTGTGTAGGCCAATGAAAAAAAAATCAAAATGTAATACATTTTCCAGTCAGGCTTTAACACAACAAAATGTGGAAAAAGTCAAGGGGTGTGAATACTTTCTGAAGACACTGTATATGGCAGCATAAGTGCATTGGCCCTTGATACGAATCCCGTGGCTCTAAACGTCTAGGGTGGATGGACATGAGACCCGTAACATAATTCAGGCAAATTAGGAGTGTGACATGGAACAGTGAGAAAAAACTACGCGACAACCATAAACTACCGTCAAACATAAATGGTTTATTTCTGAACACACGGTAAAGGTTTGGGAAAAAGGGCTGAGCAGGACCCAAGAAATGAAACAATAGTGTAAAACACCCCTAAACTGATCTTGCCTGCATCAAGAACCGCTAAGCTACTGCTAATCATAAAAAAAATACAGTGGGTGGTCCGCTCAGGTCTAGCTAGTGTTTATAGACAGTTCTTTCTACGGGAAATGTATGCCCAAGGGCAGCTTGCTTAACTTCCCCTTTTCCCAGAAACACACAAAATAGCCAAACCGAGTAATTAGCAAATTAGTGAGTACACAATACACAGGACACCACCGTATCCATACTCACATACAAAAAGTAGTCAAACAAAGTTACTAAACAGCGGAACCAGCAACTTAGTGAGTAAACAAAAACAGGACACCACAGTGTCCATACTCACATACGGAAACAGTCTCTCTCTAACAAAGTTACCAAACAGAGTAACCAGCAACTTAGTGAGTAAACAAAACACAGGACACCACAGTATCCATACTCACATACGGAAATAGTCTCTAACAAAGTTACCAAACAGAGTAACCAGCAACTTAGTGAGTAAACAAAACACAGGACACCACAGTATCCATACTCACATACGGAAATAGTCTCTAACAACTGACCGGCTTTTAAACAATGGGATGTGTGATTGAAAAACCAGCAACAGGTGGTGCAATGCAGAGGAATGTTCACTGATTGGTCCACCTTAGCAATCAGCAGACACCCCAACGACCACCAATCAGGAACATACAGGACACCTGTGATTAGGGCAGAAGGAGAGGAAAAACACAAAAAGACACAGGATACCTGTATCCGTAACAGCCCTTTTTTACTGCTTTACAGTAAGAACACACAGTTTGCAAATGGTGTGTTAGAGGAACTTGGCTCTGCTTGTGGAAACATCTGGAAAGCATTGCTACATAGGTTTCTTGGAATAGAGGAGAGTCTTTATTAGGAGTCTTTTTTGGGAGTAATGGAGCAATGCTCACTGACATTCACATTCACTTTGTAATGAGAAATGGTGGACAACTTGAACCCAGGCATATTCCCCTAAATTTTTCTCCCTACCTCTGTATCTTTCTCTCTTAATCGCGCTCTCTCTCTCTCTCTCTCTCTCTCTCTCTCTCTCTCTCTCTCTCTCTCTCTCTCTCTCTCTCTCTCTCTCTCTCTCTCTCTCTTTCTCTCTATTTCTCTCTCTCTCTCTCTCTCACCATTCTGATGTAAATGCTGATAATTTCTCTTCAAACTGAATATAAACTCAGAGCACCACGTCTCAATATGATTTAAATGAATAGCACATCTCCTCTATCTGATTTAAAATAGGGCAGTAGATACAGAACACCAGTAGAGATTGAAGTAAGCAGAAGTGTAATTGGAGTCCAAAGTATAGATACACAGTATCCAGAGTACAAGGAAAAGAGCTTGACTGGAAATCTTGTGTCATTTACAGATTTTCTACTTCCTGGGTTGGATCACTTAGTCGGACAGGTGTGACAGGTATGACGGCCAACGACCTCCAGCTGAACTCTGAACCCTTGAGGTCGGAGCCTCCCGCCAGATGCAGGAGCCCTTTCAACAGCATCAAGGTAGGCTGTGTCACCTCAAAGCTACATGTAACATTTCCACCTGCAACTAGCGCCAAATGTCAATTACAAACCAGTAGTAGCAAAGGAATAGAAATCCATGACAGTAGCATATTTTTTAGAACGCCACACAACAGTGCTGATTACCATAATAGCATTTTACTATCCGGCTGTTGCTGTTGTGTGCACAATTTCCAAAATTATTGGTTCTCGTTTATTACATGCTACTCCCAGTGGTGTAAAATACTTAAGTAAAAATATTTTGAAGTACTACTTAAGTAGTTTTTGGGGGTATCTGTACTTTGCTATATATATTTTTGACTACTTTTACTTTTACTACACTACATTCCTAAAGACAATAATGTACTTTTTACTCCATACATTTTCCCTGACACCCAAAAGTACTCATTACATTTCAAATGCTCAGGCATGACAGCAATATGGTCCAATTGAAGCACCAATCAATATAACGCATTGTCATCCCTACTGCCTCTGATCTGGCGGACTCACTAAACAAAGATACTGCATTTGTAAATTATTGGTGTGTGGGAGAGTGTCCCTGTCTGTCCGTAAATGTAAAAAAACAAGAAATTGCGGTGTCTGGTTTGCTTAATATAAGGAATTTGATGTATATAATTTACTTTGTACTTTTGACAACTGAATACTTTTTCTACCACTGTACTTAAGTACATTTGAAACCAGATACTTTTAGACTTCTACACAAGTAGTATTTTACTGGGTGACTTTCACTTTTACTTGAGTCATTTTCTATTAAGGTATCTTTACTTTTACTGAAGTATGACAATTTCATATTTTTTCCACCACTGGTTACTCCTGTCTCTCACCTCTCACATCATTACTCTCAACTTTCTCAGTGAATGTCAATGTTCGAGAGGGTAAATTGACTGATTTACTAATAATAATTAGTAGTTATTTATGATGCAAGCTGATTTGTAGATAATCTGCAATGTCGAAAAAGCACAATTCATGTATTGGTCTGCTTTGTGTGTTGTGTTGTCACAGAACTGAGACAATACCAGGAAGTGAGGACAAAGGTCAAATCTATGTCTACAGACTGCTGTTCAGGAGTCCAGAAGATTTAGACTAGGATTCTGTGATGTTAGGGTCACAGAGACAGCCAGCGTGCTAACATTAAGGAGTTTAACCTACATTCATTGACAGGATATCCTCATGTTGTGGGATTGGAGCCAAAAAATCTCAAGTCCATCGTCAGAGAGGAAAGGGAGTGAATCTTCCTTGTTTTGCGTTCTGAAATGTAGTTTATTTCTTATTGTAGTGAAAACATTGATGTGCGTCCTGTAGCCTACTGTGATTTTCCTCTGTAGCCCCAGGAGGGGTTGTGTTTCCTGGTGTTTTCAGCACATCCTTGTAGTGTTCCCATGAGTTAGAAACACATAAACTTGGCTTCTGTGTGTCTCTTTTTAACTACAATGTTTTATGAGCCTACGTTCTCGTGAATTCACTTGTAAAACATTATCTACAGTAGAGTTAAGATAAGAAACTCTGCAAATAAAGAATTACTTTAAAAAGATTAGGGTTAGGCCAGGGTTCTTCAATTCCGATCCTGGAGGGCCGAAACACCTCTGTTTTTCATCCTCTCCTTCTAATCAGGGGCTAATTCAGACCTGGGACACCAGGTGAGTGCAATTAACTACCAGGTAGAAATAAAAAACAGAACTGTTTCGGCCCTCCAGGACCGGAATTGAAGAACCCTGGGTTAGGCAGTTTGTATTATATGTAACACATTTTGCTCTGGGAGTGAAAATCCTCATAAAGTTTCTCATAGGCCTATAGAGTGGCCATTCTAAAGAGAGAAAACCAGACCCTCTTTAGCCCTCCAGGTAACTACAGTAGCGGTATGTTTTGTTACATTACATAATTTATTTACATAAAGGTGAAACATGACGTGATTCCACATAAAGTTCTCCTGAATATTTGAATCAGACTTTTGAGCTTTCTGTAGACCATTGATCAGATCTGTCATATTAATTATTACTGTAGTAAGCTGGAAACAGTACTTATTTTTCCTACTACACGTATCTATAGTCTGTCAGCCTCTCTCTCCTCTAGTTCTTTGTGCTATGCCATGGTATGCTCCAGCTGGCCCAGCTGTTGGTGTCTGGGTATCTGAAGAGCTCCATCTCCACTATAGAGAGACGCTATGGCTTCTCCAGCCAGAAGTCTGGCATCCTGGCCTCATTCAATGAGGTGAGCGTGTCATGCACCCCGCCACTCTACTGGGCTGGTTCAGATAACAGGGCGATTTGTTCCAAATTCATGCAGGTTCAGATGATTCTTTTCAGAAGATGTACTTTTAATTTTCACATGTGAGAGGGTGCACATGAGTGTGTTAAGGTGTGTGTGTATGTGTGTGCGTGTGTGTGTGTGTGTGTGTGTGTGTGTGTGTGTGTGTGTGTGTGTGTGTGTGTGTGTGTGTGTAGGTGGGGAACACGGTCCTGATAGTGTTTGTAAGTTTCTTTGGTAGCCGTGTTCACAGGCCGCGGTTCATCGGTGGAGGGGCACTGGTGGCCAGTCTGGCTGCTTTGATGATGGCCCTGCCTCATTTCATCAGTGGCCCCTATGAGTACACAGTCCACATCAGCCGTAGGTCACACACACACAAATGCACACACGTACACACATTTGTTTGAATCTCAAAACAGAAATAGTAGTTATCACCTAACTTCTAACTCCTTCCTACCTCTACCTTTTTTCCATAGAATCCAGGGATGACATCTCTGGCCTCTGCCAATTAGAGAGCTCCTTCCAAACACCCTTGTCCAATCACAGCTGCATGCAGCAGGAGAGTCATGCTCAGCAGGGCGTATTCCCCCTCCTGCTCCTAGGACAGCTACTCCTGGGAATCGGCGGCGTTCCCATCCAACCCTTCGGAATCTCCTACATTGATGACTATGCCAGCAAGAGGAACTCTCCCCTCTACCTCGGTACAATCACTGGGAATGACACATTCTGTTCCAGGTCTTTGGGGCCAAAACGTCAATGTTTTTAACTACAAATCTTTAAGAAGGAGAGTTCCACCATTCTTCTGTGACGTTCCTGCAGCTTTTGGCTGCACTCAATCACCTCCAATACTGGGAATACTTGCAGGAACATTAGAGGGAGTGTTAGATTAAACATTTCACACATAACACTGGTGCAGGATGTGACAAAAATAGCAATGAAACAAAAGTGAATGTATTGTATCCACTCATTGTTTGCTGCTCTCAAGGCTGTGTCATGTTTAGTCTTTATAATAAAAATTACAAACGATGAGCAGACTTTCATTTTCTTTTTATCAACTTTGAAGTATGATCTGGGGAGAAGCAAATCATGAGCAATCTCACTTTATTTTCTGTTTAACTGTATTGACCGCACAACAGGAGTGTCTGACTGTGGTTCCCCCCGCAGGTATTCTCCTGGCTGTCACATCTATCGGTCCTGCATTTGGTTTCATGATGGGCTCCTTCATGCTGCGCTTTTATGTCGACATCAACAAGATGTCCAAAGGTTAGCACACACACTCACACACACACACACACACACACACACACACACACACACACACACACACACACACACACATACACACACACATACACACACACAGTCCAGGCGCTCCGCAGATGTTCACAGCATGTCTCATCTGGAGTTGATATTGGGAAGGAACATCCTTACCACACTACTGAAAATGAGTTTCACCAAAACATTATTAGGATTAGGGTTAACGGTTAGGGTTGAACCAGAATGTGGACATAAAGCTAGGGTTAGGGCTGAACCGGGATGTGGACATAAAGCTAGGGTTAGGGTTGAACTGGGATGTGGACATAAAGCTAGGGTTAGGGTTGAACCAGGAGGTGTCTCTGAGGGGTCTTTGGCTTGGTTTGGCTTGGTTTGCTAACGACCTCTCTCAAAGAGTGCAGTGAATAAAGTCAGAACATCTGCTGTCTCAGCCACTGCCTGTCATCAAGGGAGTACCCCAAGGCTCGATCCTAGGCCCCACGCTCTTCTCAATTTACATCAACAACATAGCTCAGGCAGTAGGAAGCTCTCTCATCCATGTATATGCAGATGATACAGTCTTATACTCAACTGGCCCCTCCCCGGATTTTGTGTTAAACGCTCTACAACAAAGCTTTCTTAGTGTCCAACAAGCTTTCTCTGCCCTAAACCTTGTTCTGAACACCTCCAAAACAAAGGTAATGTTGTTTGGTAAGAAGAATGCCCCTCTCCCCACCAGTGTGATTACTACCTCTGAGGGTTTAGAGCTTGAGGTAGTCACCTCATACAAGTACTTGGGAGTATGGCTAGACAGTACACTGTCCTTCTCTCAGCACATATCAAAACTGCAGACTAAGGTTAAATCTAGACTTGGTTTCCTCTATCGTAATCGCTCCTCTTTCACTCAAGCTGACAAACTAACCTTGATTCAGATGACTATCCTACCCATGCTAGATTACGGAGATGTAATGTATATATCGGCAGGTAAGGGTGCTCTCGAGCGGCTAGATGTTCTTTACCATTCGGCCATCAGATTTGCCACCAATGCTCCTTATAGGACACATCACTGCACTCTATACTCCTCTGTAAACTGTCATCTCTGTATACCCGTCGCAAGACCCACTGGTTGATGCTCATTTATAAAACCTCGTAGGCCTCACTCCCCCCTATCTGAGACACCTTCTGCAGCCCTCATCCTCCACATACAACACCCATTCTGCCAGTCACAGTCTGTTAAATGTCCGCAAAACACACACATCCCTGGGTCGCTCCTCTTTTCAGTTCGCTGCATTCAAAGACTCAATCATGGACACTCTTACTGACAGTTGTGGCTGCTTCGCGTGATGTATTGTTGTCTCTACCTTCTTGCCTTTTGTGCTGATGTCTGTGCCCAGTCATGTTTGTACCATGTTATGCTGCTACCATGTTGTGCTGCTGCCATGTTGTGTTGCTACCATGTTGTTGTCATGTCGTGTTGCTACCATGCTGTGTTGTCATGTGTTGCTGCCATGCTATGTTGTTGTCTTAGGTCTCTCTTTATGTAGTGTTGTGGTGTCTCTCTTGTCGTGATGTGTGTTTTGTCCTATATATTTCTTTTTAACCCCTGTCCCCGCAGGAGGCCTTTTGCCTTTTGGTAGGCCGGGATGTGGACATAAAGCTAGGGTTATGGTTGAACTGGGATGTGGACATAAAGCTAGGGTTAGGGTTAGAATACAATATAGGGTGGGTTATGTACTAAACGTTGTGTTAGGGTGTTCTCTTTACATGCCTGAGTTTGAAGCCCTGAATAAAATCAGGGGTTAATGAAGACTAGCTGGAATAATGTTCATGATAACGACGACGTTATCTTCACTCCACTGTGAATTCTAACAAGCAAATATTATTTTAAGATTGACCTCATTCTGTGTGAACCAAAGCCACTACAACAGACATGCTCTCTCCCTGCACCTTAGAAACAGGATTTACCACAGTCATGGACCAGTGTCCTGTATTTCCAGTCTGCTCTCATTGATCTCAGCTTTCCAGTTTGATGCATCTCATTTATCAAGATGTGAGAGCGTTGTCTATGACTGGATAAATGTTCAAACTGTTCAAACGCCTGCTGAAGTTAAACTAGGTAATATTAGATTATTCCCCATTGTTTTGAGGTGTGTGTGTGTGTTTGTGTGTGTGTGTGTGTGTGTGTTGTGTGTGTGTGTGTGTGCCCGTGTGTGTGTGTGTGTGTGTGTGTGTGTGTGTGCCCGTGTGTGTGTGTGTGTGTGTGTGTGTGTGTGTGTGTGTGTGTGTGTGTGTGTGTGTGTGTGTGTGTGTGTGTGTGCCCGTGTGTGTGTGTATTTCCTCAAGCCTGAACTAGCGCCTTCTGCAAGGCACACACAGTTCAGCTTAATGGAACATTACTTTGTCCTTGCAAGAGCAAATATTTAGATATACAGTGGGGAGAACAAGTATTTGATACACTGCCGATTTTGCAGGTTTTCCTACTTACAAAGCATGTAGAGGTCTGTAATTTTTATCATAGGTACACTTCAACTGTGAGAGACGGAATATAAAACAAAAATCCAGAAAATCACATTGTATGATTTTTAAGTAATTAATTTGCATTTTATTGCATGACATAAGTATTTGATACATCAGAAAAGCAGAACTTAATATTTGGTACAGAAACCTTTGTTTGCAATTACAGAGATCATATGTTTCCTGTAGGTCTTGACCAGGTTTGCACACACTGCAGCAGGGATTTTGGCCCACTCCTCCATACAGACCTTCTCCAGATCCTTCAGGTTTCGGGGCTGTCGCTGGGCAATACGGACTTTCAGCTCCCTCAAAAGATTTTCTATTGGGTTCAGGTCTGGAGACTGGCTAGGCCACTCCAGGACCTTGAGATGCTTCTTACGGAGCCACTCCTTAGTTGCCCTGGCTGTGTGTTTCAGGTCGTTGTCATGCTGGAAGACCCAGCCACGACCCATCTTCAATGCTCTTACTGAGGGAAGGAGGTTGTTGGCCAATATCTCGTGATACATGGCCCCATCCATCCTCCCCTCAATACGGTGCAGTCGTCCTGTCCCCTTTGCAGAAAAGCATCCTCAAAGAATGATGTTTCCACCTCCATGCTTCACGGTTGGGATGGTGTTCTTGGGGTTGTACTCATCCTTCTTCTTCCTCCAAACACGGCGAGTGGAGTTTAGACCAAAAAGCACTATTTTTGTCTCATCAGACCACATGACCTTCTCCCATTCCTCCTCTGGATCATCCAGATGGTCATTGGCAAACTTCAGACGGGCCTGGACATGCGCTGGCTTGAGCAGGGGGACCTTGCGTGCGCTGCAGGATTTTAATCCATGACGGCGTAGTGAGTTACTAATGGTTTTCTTTGAGACTGTGGTCCCAGCTCTCTTCAGGTCATTGACCAGGTCCTGCCGTGTAGTTCTGGGCTGATCCCTCACCTTCCTCATGATCATTGATGCCCCACGAGGTGAGATCTTGCATGGAGCCCCAGACTGAGGGTGATTGACCGTCATCTTGAACTTCTTCCATTTTCTAATAATTGCGCCAACAGTTGTTGCCTTCTCACCAAGCTGCTTGCCTATTGTCCTGTAGCCCATCCCAGCCTTGTGCAGGTCTACAATTTTATCCCTGATGTCCTAACACAGCTCTCTGGTCTTGGCCATTGTGGAGAGGTTGGAGTCTGTTTGATTGAGTGTGTGGACAGGTGTCTTTTATACAGGTAACGAGTTCAAACAGGTGCAGTTAATACAGGTAATGAGTGGAGAACAGGAGGGCTTCTTAAAGAAAAACTAACAGGTCTATGAGAGCCGGAATTCTTACTGGTTGGTAGGTGATCAAATACTTATGTCATGCAATAAAATGCAAATTAATTACTTAAAAATCATACAATGTGATTTTCTGGATTTTTGTTTTAGATTCCGTCTCTCACAGTTGAAGTGTACCTATGATAAAAATTACAGACCTCTACATGCTTGTAAGTAGGAAAACCTGCAAAATCGGCAGTGTATCAAATACTTGTTCTCCCCACTGTAACTAATATGGAAGTCATACACTATATATAATACATATCTTAAGTTATTTACTTCTTTAAAACGGTGCATGATATGAGATTAATTTCTATGAGAGAAATCTGCTTTATTCCCTTTTTGGAGTAAAATAGGTTCTTAACTGGAATTTGGGTTCCTACAGCTAGTGTGACCTCATTCTTTCAGTCATTCACTTCAGTCATTCAGAATGAATGTGGAGCTTCTCCCAGTGAAAGAGAGTGATTTCTTCCTGGAAACTGCTATCAGTTTGACGGAGATTCAATGTTCTGTTGCATGATACTAAGGGAAAAAACAACTCTTTCTCTTAACACTGTCTAAAATTGCTCAAAAGGGTATAACATTTTGAAACCAGGAACTGTGCTCAGGGAACACTTCCATACATACAGTACATTTGATTCAATTGATTATTTAATTTAATCATTTATTGAACATTTTTATTGTATTATTTATAAATAATGTACTTTGCCACTAGTACAGTAACATGTCTCTCTCCTGTCTCCTGTCTGCAGATGAGATAGGTCTGGAGCAAGGGGACCCTCGCTGGGTGGGAGCCTGGTGGTTGGGCTTTGTCGTGGCAGCCTCCTTCCTCTTCCTCACCTCCCTGCCCTACCTCTTCTTCCCCCGACAGATGCCCAAAGAGGTGATGGGATACCAGCTGAGTCCTTGTCACGGTCATGAAATATATTTATGATTGATTGACTCTAATGAAAGTTGCACAATCTTCTCTTATAGAAAATGTGTGGTTCAGAGCAAGTAAGAGTGATGTGGTTTGACCTTGTTGAATAAGGTCTTGGCTCATATCCATCATTCTGAAAGAGAAATGTTTAGAAGATTTTGGTTCTAGCACAAAGAAGAATACTCGTGCCAGGTCTTGCTCAATAGTGAAAGTGGCTGTAAATCACATTAACATGCCAGAGCATAACCGGGCGCGCACACACACACAAACACAAACACAGACGCACAGACACACAGACACACACACACACACACAGAGAGAGAGAGACTGTCTCTTGAATGCTGGAGCTTTAAAAGCTCTAAAGCTTGGCGTGTAACTTGAGTGCACTGCATTGCACCATACACTTTACATTTAATCATTTCGCAATCAGACAAACTATCTCTTTGCTACATCATGTACCCCAGGTCTGTCAAAGGCTATTAGAGAGAGATAATGCAATACAGGCAGGATTACATGTTTACTGTACCGTATTCACACTCCAATCTGCTGAAACAAGAGTAAAGTGCATCATTGTGGTTCTTCCTCTCCCCTGGTTAGGAAGCTGCAGGCGGTGCCACAGAACCCAGAGCCGAGGAGGAAAAGAAACCACTGCCAGACCCCGTCCAGGAACTCACCCTCACACAGTTCCTCAAAAGTTAGACTCTTTTATAAGACCGCATCCGTCTGTTTCCTTTCCATTTCCCTTCATTGTGTCTGTGGGTGACTACATGGCGTTGAGGATGACGGTCACAGATGTCATGATACTGATAGTATATGAAAAGTAGTTGTGGTGGTCTCTCTCTTCCTCTATTGTTGCCTCTCATCCGTTGTTAAGTATTGTCTGAAGCAGTTAGGTCATTGGCCGGCATTTCGGAGAGGAAAACAAACACCTTTCTCGCTTCGCTCGCCTCTTCCATCTCCCTCTCGTCTCCCTCTCTTTCCCCTCCCCTTCTTTCTCCCAGGCTTCCCCCGTATCGCTCTACGGACCCTGCGGAACCCCATCTACCTGTTGGTGGTGCTGGCACAGGTCCACCTGGCAGCTATGATAGCCGGCCTTGCCACCTTCATGGCCAAGTTCATAGAGCGCCAGTTCACCCAGACCGCCTCCTTCTCCAACATGATGATCGGTGAGAGACACCATTCGTTATCTCTGTGGAACATCCTGGTTTAGATGAAGGTTAGGGTTTGTCTAATAAATTAGAAATAGAACCAATGGACCAAATTAAAATTCCACTCCATGGAGAGTGATTGCTTCAGTCAAATCTGTGTTTGACATATACACACTTAGTACTAGCTGATAATAATTATGCTTCAGCTCTCCATGGGTCTATGAGAAGCACAGAGCGCATAGAAAACTCCCACATAAACACTGTGTCCGCGCCCCGTGGAAATCTAATTAGCATAGTACACAAATACCCATAAAACTCTGTCAGTTTAATGATCAACTGGAGGTAATCATTCACAGAAGCTGCCCAGACGATAAAGACTCCATTGTATGTGCAGAGCACCCATGCCACTCATGTTTATAGCCTTGGAATACAGTATGTTCTCTTTGATGAACAGGGGCAAATCTGGATGGGATTTACTTGCCCTTTACTCCAGTGTTGTAGCCATTTCTTTGGTGGGGAGCAGAATCTCCAGCATTAGCACCTGAAGCTGCCAATATATCAACATTTTCTATGACAACCAAATAAGGCCGACCATTTTTAGGAGGGGGTTAACAGAGCTAGGCAGAGGGGAACCACCCTGCCTAAGTAAGGGGAAACACTGGTTACGTTCCAGGTTGTCTTTCTCAAAGTCGGGATGCGCACATCTCACAGTGTTTAATGTCTCCGGGAACCATATTAACATAGCTATCTTCTGAGATGTGCAGGGTGACTGCAATAAACATGATCTGGAACGTGTCTACTGCTTTAATCTGAGTGACCCTTACTCTTTGATCTCTGTGTGCCTGTAGGTGGGGTGAACATCCCTCTGGCGGTGCTGGGCATCGTGCTGGGTGGGGCTCTGATGAGGAGGCTGAATATCTCTACTAGAGGCTCTGCCCTCATGTGCACGTCAGCCATCTTGATGTGTGTACTCACCGCTCTACCTCTCCTCCTCCTCGGCTGCTCCACACAGAGGGTCACCGGCATCTACCCCACCAAGTAGGTTGCCGTCTCAAAAGGTTACCCTCACCTCACCACTCTCCTTAAAACAACACTTAAGCCATAAGTTGCCATTTTGTACTCTACCAGGTACCATTTCTCTTACTTCTTCTTCTGTTCTCAGACAGAACAGGTCATTGGAGTGTAGCTCTGGGTGCTCCTGTCCGACCGAGGCCTTTAACCCAGTGTGTGGCTCAGACGGGGTGGAGTTCAGATCGCCCTGTCATGCAGGCTGCATGACCAAAGTACTGGACAACAGCACCAGCAAAATCCTGGTAAACCACTACACCTGCCTATCCATAAATGGGCCGAATCCTAACTTCTCCTGGCCAACCATTCCCATTCAATGAATCTTCCATGTATTATATTTGCACATGAACTTAAAAAAGAAAGCAGAGAGAAAACAAAATCCCATTCGCGAAAAAGTGAAAGCATGAACCACCACATTTAACCATGGCAAGGTGACTGGGAATATGGCAGAATGCAAACAGAGTGGTCGTTCCCTCCGCAAGGTAATCAAACAGGTAAAACGTAAATATCGAGACAAAGTGGAGTCACAATTCAACGGCTCAGACACAAGACGTATGTGGCAGGGTTTACAGACAATCACGGACTACAATAGGAAAGCCAGCCACGTCGCGGACACCAACGTCTTGCTGCCCGACAAGCTAAACAAGCTCTTTGCCCGCTTTGAGGATAACACAGTGCCACCCGACCCGGCCAGCTACCAAGAACTGTGGGCTCTCCTTCTCCGTGGCCGACGTGAGTAAGACATTTAAACGTGTTAACCCTCGCAAGGCTGCCGGCCCAGACGGAATTCCTAGCCGCGTCCTCAGAGCATGCGCAGACCAGCTAGCTGGTGTGTTTACAGACATATTCAATCTCTCCCTATCCCAGTCTGCTGTCCCCACATGCTTCAAGATGGTCACCATTGTTCCTGTACCCAAGAATGCAAAGGTGAACTAAATGACTATCGCCCCGTAGCACTCACTTCTGTCATCATGAAGTGCTTTGTAAAGTGGTTATCCCACTGGCTATAGGGTGAACGCACCAATTTGTGAGTCGCTCTGGCTAAGAGCGTCTGCTAAATGACGTTAATGTGCCCTTGAGCAAGGCACTTAACCCTAATTGCTCCTGTAAGTCGCTCTGGTTAAGAGCGTCTGCTAAATGACTAAAATGTAATGTAAATGTTTGAGAGACTAGTCAAGGATCATATCACCTCAACCTTACCTGTCACCCTAGACCCACTTCAATTTGCTTACCACCCCAATAGGTCCACAGACGATGCAACTGCCATCACACTGCACACTGCCCTATCCCATCTGGACAAGAGGAATACCTATGTAAGAATGCTGTTCATTGACTATAGCTTAGCATTCAACACCATAGTACCGTCCAAGCTCATCATTAAGCTTGAGGCCCTGGGTCTCAACCCCGCCCTGTGCAATTGGGTCCTGGACTTCCTGACGGGCCACCCCCAGGTGGTGAAGGTAGGAAACAACATCTCCACTTCACTGATCCTCAACACTGGGGCCCCACAAGGGTGTGTGCTCAGCCCCTCCTGTACTCCCTGTTCACCCATGACTGCATAGCCATGCACGCCTCCAACTCAATCATCAAGATTGCAGACAACACAACAGTAGTAGGCTTGATTACCAACAACGATGAGACAGCCTACAGGGAGGAGGTGAGGGCTCTCAGAGTGTGGTGTCAGGAAAATAACCTCTCACTCAACGTCAACAAAACAACAGAGATGATAGTGGACTTCAGGAAACAGCAAGATGGAGTAACCCCCTATCCACATCGATGGGACAGCAGTGGAGAAGGTAGAAAGTTTTAACTTCCTCGACATACATATCACTGACAAACTGAAATGGTCAACCCACACAGACAGTGTGGTGAAGAAGGCACAACAGCGGGAGGCTGAAGAAATTTGGCCTGTCACCTAAAACCCTCACAAACTTTTACAGATGCACAATTGAGAGCATCCTATCAGGCTGTATCACCGCCTAGTACAGCAACTGCACCGCCCACAACCGCAGGGCTCTCCAGAGGGTGGTGCGGTCTGCACAACGCATCACCGGGGGCAAACTACCTACCCTCCAGGACACCTACAGCACCAGATGTCACAGGAAGGCCAAAAAGATCATCAAGGACAACTACCACCCGAGCCACTGCCTGTTCACCCCGCTATCATCCAGAAGGCGAGGTCAGTACAGGTGCATCAAAGCTGGGCCCGAGAGACTGAAAAACAGCTTATATCTCAAGGCCATCAGACTGTTAAACAGCCATCACTAGCACAGAGAGGCTGCTGCCTACATACAGACTTGAAAATCACTGGCCACTTTAATAAATGGAACACTAGTCACTTTAATAATGCCACTTTAATAATGATTACATATCTTGCATTACTCGTCTCATATGTATAAACTGTAATCTATACTATCGTAATAATGTTTACATATCTTGCATTACCCATCTCATATGTATATACTGTATTCTATGCTATCTATTGCATCTTAGCCTATGCCGCTCTGACAATGACATTGCTCATCCATATATTTATATATTCTTATTCCATTCCTTTACTTCAATTTGTGTGTATTAGATATTTGTTGTGGAACTGTTAGATATTACTTGCTAGATATTACTGCACTGTCGGAACTAGAAGCACAAGCATTTCGCTACACTCACGATAACATCTGCTAACCATGTGTATGTGACCAATACATTTGATTTGATTTGAAATCATATAACATGCAGAATGGGTGAATAAATCCTAGATGATGAGTTTCCAGGAAGTAGACATGTCAGACAGACTCTAAAGGGGCCTCACTTCTGCTTTACTGTCACAGCCGATGTCTGCTGCATGGAAAACAGGGTTTAAAGCCAGACTCAGCATTCTTGAACCATCACACACACACTTACACTCACATGCACGCACACACACACCACCACCACCATCACCATCACCACCACACAAAGCCTGGGAGAAGAATATTACCTTTGCTTGAAGCCAGAGAGATTGTTTCTTGATAATGTCTTTTCATTGTCTTTATGAGATTCTCATTCATACCTACTAATGCCAACAGTTACTGCCAGATGTAATGGTGTGAGTCTGATTGACCGGTGGTTAACGTCATGTGACTCTCTCTGTCTCTCTGACAGAACTACACAGACTGTGGCTGCATAGGGGTCAGCGGATCCTATGGTTATGCGTTGCCAGGGACATGCGGTAGTGGCTGTAAACACCTTCTCCTGCCCTTCATGGTTCTCTCTGCCCTCACCTGCTTCATTGCATCATTCTCACAGACCCCATCCTACATGATGATACTGAGGTAGAACACGCACACGCCATTCACACACAGGCCTAACATGATACTAACATACTGAACACACACACTAATGAGACAGAGAGAGAGAGAGAGAGAGAGAGAGAGAGAGAGAGAGAGAGAGAGAGAGAGAGAGAGAGAGAGAGAGAGAGAGAGAGAGAGAAAGTTTATTGGTCAGGGACACAGATCTGCAGATGTTATTGCAGTCTCTCTCTGTTTCAAGCTCCAATACCTAGAAAACAATACGCACATGATCTAAAAGTGAAAAGAAAGAAATTAAGAAATATCAGAACGAGCAGTGTCAGAGTTCGGAATATAAATATATATAATAGTGTGTATGGACAGTATATGAGTAGAAAAGGTGTGTACAGTAGTAGTTATATAGGTTGAGCCATGACTACAATACACTATATACATACAGTACCAGTCAAACGTTTGGACACACCTACTCATTCAAGGGTTTTTCTTAATTTGTTACTATTTTCTACATTGTAGAATAATAGTGAAGACATCAAAACTATGAAATAACACATATGGAATCATGTAGTAAGCAAAAAAGTGTTAAACAAATCAAAATATATTTTATATTTGAGATTCTTCAAATAGCCACCCTTTGCCTTGATGACAGCTTTGCACACTCTTGGAATTCTCTCAACCAGCTTCACCTGGAATGCTTTTCCAACGGTCTTGAAGGAGTTCCCACACATGCTGAGCACTTGTTGGCTGTTTTTCCTTCACTCTGCCGTCCGACTCATCCCAAACCATCTCAATTGGGTGGAGGTCGGGGGATTGTGGAGGCCAGGTCATATGATGCAGGATCCATCACACTCCTTCTTGTTAAAATAGCCCTTACACAGCCTGGAGTTGTGTGGGTCATTGTCCTGTTGAAAAACAAATGATAGTCCCACTAAGCCCAAACCAAATGGAATGGCGTATCACTGCAGAATGCTGTGGTAGTCATGCTGGGTAAGTGTGCCATGAATTCTAAATAAATCACTGACAGTGTTACCAGCAAAGCACCCCCACACCATAACACCTCCTCCTCCATGCTTTACGGTGGGAAATACACATACGGAGATCATCCGTTCAACCACACCGCGTCTCACAAAGACACGGCAGTTGGAACCAAAAATCTCACATTTGGTCTCCAGACCAAAGGACAAATTTCCACCGGTCTAATGTCCATTGCTCGTGTTTCGTGGCCCACGCAAGCCTCTTCTTCTTATTGGTGTCCTTTAGTAGTGGTTTCTTTGCAGCAATTTGACCATGAAGGCCTGATTCACACAGTCTCCTCTGAACAGTTGATGTTGAGATGTGTCTGCTACTTGAAGTCTGTGAAGCATTTATTTGGGCTGCAATTTCTGAGGCTGGTAACACATGAAGGTCTGTCAATACGGAACATTTCAAGAACTGTTCCGTATTGACAGACCTTCATGTGTTAAAGTAATAATGGACTGTTGTTTCTCTTTGCTTATTTGAGCTGTTCTTGCCATAATATGGACTTGGTCTTTTACCAAATAGGGCTATCTTCTGTATACCCCCCTTACCTTGTCATAACACAACTGATTGGCTCAAACGCATTAAGAAGGAAAGAAATTCCACAAATTAACTTTTAAGAAGGGACACCTTTTAATTGAAATGCATTCCAGGTGACTATCTCATGAAGCTGGTTGAGAGAATGCCAAGAGTGTGCAAAGCTGTCAAGGCAAGAGGTGGCTATTTCTGCTTACTACATGATTCCATATGTGTTATTTCATAATTTTGATGTCTTCACTATTATTCTACAATGTAAAAAATAGTAAAAATAAAGAAAAAACCCTTGAATGAGTAAGTGTGTCCAAACTTTTGACTGGTAGTGCATAAAGTGGGTAAAACAGTATGTAAACATAATTAAAGTGACCAGTGTTCAGTGATTCTACGTACATAGGGAAAGCAGTCTCTAAGGTGCAGGGTGCACATGCAACAACAAAGATTTCAAGATAAAGTGGATGGGGGTAGTGTTGCATGTTGATATTTGAGCAGTGCAAAGTGTGTGTGTGTGTGTGCGATTGTGCATGCGCGTGTATGATGTGTGTATGATAAGTCTGACATGGTTTCCTGCATCCGTTCAGCTGTTGTGTTTCCCTCTGACCTAAACGCAGGTCCATCCAGCTGGTCAGTAGCTTCTTCACACCAGCACTGATTATGTTACTGTGAGTGATGTTACCCCTCACCCATCCTTTATCTCTCCGTCCCCTCTACCCTATCCATCACCTTTTCCTTCTCTCTCTCGTGCTCTCTCCCGCTCTCCTCTGCAGGACAGTGAGACCAGAGGATAAGTCTTTTGCTGTGGGGGTTCAGTACATGCTCTTCAGAGTGCTGGGTGAGTTACAGTGTTACAGCCTGAATTTAAAATTGATTACATATAGATTTTGTGTCACTGGCCTACACACAATACCCCATAACGTCAAAGTAGAATTATGATTTTAGAAATGGTTACAAATTAATAAAAAATGTTTTGAGTCAATAAGTATTCAACCCCTTTGTTATGGCAAGCCTAAATAACTTCAGGAGTAACAAGTCACATAATAAGTTGCATGGACTCTGTGTGCATGGACTCCAACCACAAAGACCAGGGAGGTTTTCCAATGCCTCGCAAAGAAGGGCACCTATTGGTAAGGGTAAAAAAAAAAGCAGACATTGAATATCCCATTGAGCACGGTGATGTTATTAATTACACTTTGGATGGTGTATCAATACACCCAGTCACTACAACTATACAGTTGCCGGAGAGGAAGGAAACCGTTCAGTGATTTCACCATGAGGCCAATGTTGATTTTAAAACAGTTAGAGTTTAATGGCTGTGATAGGAAAAAACTGAGGATGGATCAACAACATTGAAGTTACTCCACAATACTAACCTAAATGACAGAGTGAAAAGAAGGAAGCCTGCACAGTATAAAAATATTCAAAAACATGCATCCTGTTTGCAATAAGGCACTAAAGTAATACTGGGAAAATGTGGCAAAGAAATGAACTTTATGTCCTGAATACAAAGCGTTATGTTTTGGGCAAATCCAACACAACACATCACTGGTTCAGTCTGCTTTCCAACAGGCACTGGGAGACAAATTCACCTTTCAGCAGGACAACAACCTAAAACACAAGGCCAAATACAGTATACACTGCACTGGAGTTGCTTACCAAGATGACATTGAATGTTCCTGAGTGGCCTAGTTACAGTTTTGACTTAATTGGCTTGAAAATATATGGCAAGACTTGAAAATGACTATCTAGCAATGATCAACAACCAACTTGACAGAGCTTGAAGAATTAGAAAATATATAATGTGCAAATATTGTACAATCCAGGTGTGCAAAGCTCTTAGAGACTTACCCAGAAAGACTCACAGCTGTAATCGCTGCCAAAGGTGATTCTAACATGTATTGACTCAGGGGGTTGAATACTTATGTAATCAAGATAGTGTTTTATTTTTCATACTTGTATTTTTTACAAATGTTCATATTTTTCTTCTACTTTGACATTACAGAATATTTTGTGTAGATCGTTGACAAATAAGGACAATTACAGTACATTCGGAAAGTATTCAGACCCCTTGACTTTATCCACATTTTGTTACGTTACAGCCTTATTCTAAAATTGATTAAATCTCAAACTACACACAATACCCCATAATGACAAAGCAACTACTGTTTTGTTCAGTTTTTTTGCAAATGTATTAAAAATAAAAAAACGGAAATATCACATTTACTTATTTATTCAGACCATTTACTCAATACTTTGTTGAAGCACCTTTGACAGCGATTACAGCCTCAAGTCTTCTTGGGCATGATGCTACAAGCTTGGCACACCTGTAATTGGAGAGTTTTCTCTGCAGATCCTCTCAAGCTCTGTCAGGTTGAATGGGGAGCGTTGCTGCACAGCTATTTTCAGGTCTCTCCAGAGATGTTCGATCGGGTTCAAGTCCGGGCTCTCACTGGGCCACTCAAGGACAGTCAGAGACTTGTCCTGAAGCCACTCCTCCGTTGTCTTTGCTGTGTGCTTAGGGTCGTTGTCCTGTTAGAAGGTGAACCTTTGCCCCAGTCTGAGGTCCTGAGCACTCTGGAGCAGGTTTTCATCAAAGATCTCTCTGTACTTTGCTCCATTCATATTTTCCTCGATCCTGACTAGTCTCCCAGTCCCTGCCACTGAAAAACAAACCCCACAGCATGATGCTGCCACCACCATGCTTCACCGTAGGGATGATGCCAGGTTTCCCCCAGACGTGAAGCTTGGCATTCAGGCCAAAGAGTTCAATCTTGGTTTCATCAGACCAGAGAGTCTTCTTTCTCATGGTCTGAGAGTCTTTAGGTGCCTTTTGGCAAACTCCAAGTGGGCTGTCATGTGCCTTTTACTGAGGAGTGGCTTCCGTCTGGCCACTCTACTATAAAGGCCTGATTGGGGGAGTGCTGCAGAGATGGTTGTCCTTCTGGAAGGTTCTCCCATCTTCACAGAGGAACTCTGGAGCTCTGTCAGAGTGACCACTGGGTTCTTGTTCACCTCCCTGACCAAGGCCCTTCTCCCCCGATTGCTCAGTTTGGCCGGGTGGCCAGCTCTAGGAAGAGTCTTAGTGGTTCCAAACTTCTTCCATTTAAGAATGATTGAGGCCACTGTGTTCTTGGGGACCTTCAATGCTGCAGAAATGTTTTGGTTCCCTTCCCCAGATCTGTGCATCGACACAATCCTGTCTCGGAGCTCTACGGACAATTCCTTCGACCTCATGGCTTGGTTTTTGCTCTGACATGCACTGTCAACTGTGGGACCTTATATAGACAGGTGTGTGCCTTTCCAAATCATTTCCAATCAATTTAATTTACCACAGGTGGACTCCAATCAAGTTGTAGAAACATCTCAAGGATGATCAATGGAAACAGGATGCACCTGAGCTCAATTTCGAGTCTCATAGCAAAGGTTCTGAATATTTATGTAAATAAGGTATTTCTGTTTTGTATTTTTTATAAATTTGCAAAAAATTCTATAAACCTTTTTTTACTTTGTCAGTATGGGGTATTGTGTGTAGATTGCTGAGGATTTTTATTTATTTAATCCATTTTAGAATTAGGCTGTAAATCCATTTTAATCCCACCTTTTAACACAACAAAATGTGGAAAAAGTCAAGGTGTGTGAATAATATCTGAAGGAACTGAATATCAGCATTCCTCATGTTAGGTTCTGTTAATTACTGATGTCCCCTTTAAGAATGGAACGCCCTTGGTCATGCGCAGTGTTGCTCTATGTTATTCTTGCACTAACTTGCTTTAGTAAATGTGAAGCTCCAGTTCACTTCCTTGTATTCGGAGTCTTTCTTATTATTATATTAGTAATAAGAGCTAAGACACTACAATGGTGACGAGGATGATTACCTACAGTGTGCATCACGAATGCCGATGGAGCTCGTAGAAAGAGAGGAAGATTTTGACCCTGTAGCACAGCAGCTAGCAAGCAGTGACGACGAGGGGAGTGCTGACGAGAACGAGGCGGCAGACCGGAGGTAAAGAGAATGGCTAGCATCGGGAAAATAGAGGTGTTTGATGATACGCAAGAAAACTGGGAAACTTACATTGAATGACTGGAACAGTACTTTATTGCAAACGACATTGCTGATAACAAGAGAGTACCAGCGTTGTTGAGTTTGATTGGCCCAAAAATGTACAGTTTGCTAATAGATCTGACTGCTCCTCTGAAGCCCTCCAATAAAACATTCACGGAGATTGTGGAGATATTACAAAATCACCTATCACCTAGACCACTCCTCATCACGGAATGTTTTCGTTTCCACAAGAGAGACCAGAATGAGGGGGAGGGTGTTAGAACATATGTAGCAGAGTTGAAGAAACTGTCTGAGCATTGCCAGTTTGGAGAGAACCTAAATGACACATTAAGGGATAGATTTGTTTGTGGACTGAAACATTAACACATTCAGAAACGTTTGCTCACAAAATCAGATCAAATTTTCTGCAAAGGCTGTTGAAATTGCTGTAGCTATGGACATCTCGACCAAAGATGCAATTGAGATGCAAAGTAAAATAAATACTGACCTCCTATCACAAACTTCCCTGCACAAGTTTTCACGCAGCCAACAGCACCCCCGTGTAGCCGAAAAATGCAACAGGTGTGACAGAGATGGTCACAGAGCAGAGGACTGCCGTTTCAAAGACGAAATTTGTCACAAATGCAATAGAAGGGGGCACATTCAAAGAGCATGCAGAGCAAAATACAGTCACAACAGGAAAACTGAGAAAATAAAAGGGTCTGTGAATGTACTAGCAGAGAACAGTGGCAGTGATTCAGATGAACAATTAATTGGTACAATGGAGTTAAACACAGTGACTTCTCCCAGCAGTAGCATAATATGGGTGACACCAGAAATCGACAGCAAACCCCTCAAAATGGAGCTGGACACAGATTCTGCAGTGTCTATAATTTCGACAACTGTTTACAATGAGCACTTCAATGCTATGAAGCTGAGGAAAACAAATGTGTTGCTGAAGACACACTCAGGAGAGCGATTGAGCCCAATGGGGGTGTTGCAGGTCAGAGTGAGTTATGGGGAGCAAACACAGCCGTTACAGCTGTATGTGGTGCCGGGAACTGCCCCTCCCCCCTGTCCAAAATAAAGCTGAACTGGTGTGACTTGAAAATGCTCCACACGTCCCAGCCTAAAGAGAAAGGCACAGACCAAACACTGGAACACTTGCTGAAGAAATACGACACCGTTTTCAGTGATCAGATGGGAACAGTAAAAGGCTTCACAGCCAAACTCATACTGAGAGATGATGCAACCCCAAAATTCTGCAAAGCCAGATCTGTTCCATACTCCCTGAGACCAAAGGTGGAAGCGGAAATCGATCGCTTGCAGGATACAGGGATCCTGACGAAAGTGGACAGAAGCGAATGGGCCACACCCATTGTTCCTATTGTAAAGAAAGACGGGTTTGTCAGAATGTGTGGGGACTTCAAGTTACTGTGAATTCAATGTTGCATGTGGACCAATACCCCCTGCCACGTCTGGATGATATCTTTGCTGCACTAGCTGGTGGGAAACACTTCAGTAAAATCAACCTGAAACAGGCTTACCTGCAGCTACCGTTGAAGAGAGCTCCGTACAGTACCTCACAATAAACACACACATAGGTCTATACAGGTATAACCGCCTGGTTTTTGGCATTGCTTCAGCCCCAGCCATTTGGCAACAAACTATTGACCAGATTTTGCAAGGAATCCCAGGAACCCAGTGTGTCGTGGATGATATGATCATAACAGGACACACAGACAAAGAGCACCTGACTAACCTGAAAGAGGTCCTGAGAAGATTGAAAGAGTATGGACTACAGGCAAACTTACAGAAGTGTGAGTTCTTCAAATATAAGATTGTCTTCTGTGGACATGAAATCGACCAAAATGGATTGCACAAAACACAGGACAAAATCGATGCAGTGGTACAGGCACCACGACCCAAAATGTGACAGAAGTGAGATCTTTCACTTAACTGATCAAATACTACAGAAGATTCCTCCCAAACCTTTCAGCAGTACTCCAGCCTCTCAATCAGCTCCTGGAAAAGAATTGGACATGGCAGTGGACAGCACAGTGTGGAAATACGTTTCTTGAGGCAAAACGGCTCATCACATCTGAACAGGTCCTGATGCATTTTGACCCCGAACTGCCAGTGAAGTTGGCTTGTGATGCGTCCCCTTATGGCTTAGGGGCCGTCCTTTCACACACACTGAAAGATGGGTCAGAGATGCCAGTGGCCTTTGTGTCACGAACATTGAATGATGCAGAGAAGAACTACTCACAAATCGACAAAGAAGCACTGGCGCTAGTGTGGGGCCACAAGAAATTCCATGCATACCTATATGGCAAGCGTTTCACACTGGTTACCGATCACCAGCCAATGCTTTCCATTTTCAGTCCAAAAAAAGGCTTTCCGGCAATGACAGCGGCCAGGTTACAGCGATATGCCTTGTTCCTTGCCGGTCATATGTATGACATTGAGTTTAAGCCATCGTCCCTCAACACAAATGCAGATGGATTATCCAGACTGCCCTGTACAAGAGAAAGACAAAGGAGTGTGGATGCAGTGGACATTTTCCATACCTCTCAGCTCGAGGCATTACCTGTCACAAGCACTGTTATCAAACGGGAGACAAGGAAAGATGTGACATTGTCAAAAGTATACACCTACACCATGTCAGGATGGCCAGCTACAGGCAGAAAGGAGCTGACACCGTATTTCCAGCGGTGAAACAAAATTACAACGTACCAAGGATGTTTGATGTGGGGAATGAGAGTCATGATACCACAGAAATGCCAACATCAGGATTTGCAGCAACTACATGAAGGGCATGTTGGAATTGTCAAAATGAAGCTGCTCACGAGGAGCCACTTCTGGTGGCCCGGTCTGGATCCATAGATTGAAAACATGGCAATGAACTGTAGCGGATGTTTGGAAACCCTTCACATGCCTGCTCCTGCCCCAGTCCACCCATGGGAATTGCCCACAGAGCCATGGCAGAGAATTCATGTGGACTACGCCGGCCCCTTTGAAAAGCACATGTTTCTGGTTATAGTTTATGCCCATTCCAAATGGCCAGAGGTGTTTTGCACTGACTCCTCCACCTACGCTCAGACTATAAAGTGTCTCAGAACAACGTTTGCACGCTTCGGATTGCCTCTGCAGCTGGTAAGCGACAACGCGCAAGCTTTCGTAAGTGATGAGTTTACAAGATTCATGTCAGTAAACGGAATCAAACACTCAACCTCAGCTCCGTACCACCCTGCCACCAATGGGCTGGCGAAACGCTTTGTGCAAACCCTAAAGCAAGGACTCCGTGCAGCAAAACGAGACGAAGGGACTTTGCAAACAAAACTGGCCAAGTTCCTGGGCTCCTACCGAAACACCCCACATGCCACGACAAATGAAAGCCCAGCTGCACTGATGTTCAGGCGGCCTCTCCGCACACAGCTGGACATCATGAAGCCAAACAGGCGTAATTAAGTACTGAACAAACAAGCCAAGATGCTCTCCGGCGGCCGGGAGTGCCATCTCCGAACAGGACAGGAAGTAATGGTGCGAGACTACAGAAGGGGAGGGAAATGGACAAGAGGGACCGTACACGCACAAACGGGACCCAGAACTTACCAGGTTCAAGTGAGCCCAGACATAATGTGGCGGCGTCACATTAACCAAATGCATTCCGCGGAAAACAGCCCACCAATCGAGAAAGAACAGGCACAGAGAGCTCCTGGGAGTGACACACAGGGAACTGTAGAGGACAGTGGGGCAGTACAGAGACCCCAGGCTGAAAGAAGGGAACGTGTGGACGAAGGTGCTGCTATAGCAGAAATTATTATGGAGCAAGCACACACACTGAGGATGTGCAGGAGCCTCCAGACATTCCAAGGTGCTATCCGGAACGACTCCACCGTCCACCAGACAGACTTAGAAACAAACAAAAACAAACAAAAGAACTAAGACTGTTCAAGTTCAAATCAAAGATGCAAAATAACTACAACAAGTTCTGGGAAATGTTTCGGTTGTGGTTTGGTAAAAGTAACTGATTGTATAAGAGAAGGAATGTTATGTTCTGTTAATTACTGATGTCCCCTTTAAGAACGGCGCGCCCTTGGTCATGCGCAGTGTTGCTCTATGTTATTCTTGTACTAACTTGCTTTAGTAAATGTGAAGCTCCAGTTCACTTCCTTGTATTCTGAGTCTTTCTTATTATATCAATTAGTAATAAGAGCTAAGACACTACATCACACTCTCATATCTTTTCCCGGGATTCCAAGAAATCTAGATAAATTACCTACAGTGATCGATTTTTCTGGTCGAGCCGACATCCACAGTTTTAACAGCAAACGTCTGGCAAACTGCCTTTCAAAAATCCATCCCTGAATTTTCCTCTCTGTCCATCCTGTTAGGTGACATTAAAGGTAGAGTCAGCAACATGACCTAGATTAACAAAGCAAACAGCATAGTGGGTCAATTTTCGCAACAACTAAGAGCATTGGAGCGCGATGCCAAACTTCTCTGCTGTTTTGGTCCGTTGTAAGTGTGAAGCGAACTTGTGAGCATGCGCAGATACTGTGTGAGAGCAAAGTCTTGCATCTCGCCCAACTGCTCGTGCAATGTCATTTAGCTTACTCTACCTTTAAGCAGGACCATGTACACTATGGAAACAAGGCTCTACAGGGATAATTTTTACATTTAAGTCATTTAGCAGACGCTCTTATCCAGAGCGACTTACAGTTAGTGAGTGCATACATTATTATTATTTGTATTTATTTTTTCATACTGGCCCCCCGTGGGAATCGAACCCACAACCCTGGCGTTGCAAACACCATGCTCTACCAACTGAGCTACATCCCTGCCGGCCATTCCCTCCCATACCCTGGACGACGCTGGGCCAATTGTGCGCCACCCCATGGGTCTCCCGGTCACAGCCTGCTACGACAGAGCCTGGATTCGAAACAGGATCTCTAGTGACACAGCTAGCACTGCGATGCAGTGCCTTAGACCACTGCGCCACTCAGGAGATAATTAACATAAAAACACTGCCACTCAAGAAGAATCACCTCGCAGGCGCTCATCCAAATGTCTGTTTACACAGTGTGTGCATGCATGTCTGTGTGCATGCGTGCATGGATGTGTGTTTATAATTGTGTGTATGTGTGTCTCCAGCGTTCCTGCCAGCCCCAGTCCTGTATGGTACTGCCATAGACACCACCTGTATCATCTGGGGAAATAAATGTGGGAGGAACACGTCGTGTCACTACTACAACATGGACCTCTTCAGACAGAGGCAAGAACCAACAGATATACCTGCTTCCCGCACTGACTCACGCCGCCATGTCAGCCATATCAGCCATATCAGCCATATCAGCCATACTAGAAAGTATTTGAGATGCGCTTGATTTAGCATAGAGCACTTATGGACCATTTTACCAGGCAAACTAAATCAAACACAGTTCAAGTATTTAAAAGTATTTCCAATACTGTATTTCTTAGACCCAGGCCTGTTATAGAGTATAGAGAATGTCTGATATTGACAAGTCCCACTCTCTTCTGTGTGCAGGTTCCTGGGTCTGCAGGTATTGTTTGTCTGCGGAGCGTTTGTCTGCTTCCTGCTCTCCCTCCTGGTCCTGAGACATAGGGCAGGAAAAAAAGGCCAGCAGGCAGGACAGAGATACACTATGATTAACAGAGAGCAGAGTCCAGACAAGAACACCGCCTCAAAAGAACAGCAGAGCATGGCAGCATGAGAGAGGCCTGATAGAGAAAGAAAGAAAGAAAGAAAGAAAGAAAGAAAGAAAGAAAGAAAGAAAGAAAGAAAGAAAGAAAGAAAGAAAGAAAGAAAGAAAGAAAGAAAGAAAGAAAGAAAGAAAGAAAGAAAGAAAGAAAGAAAGAAAGAAAGAAAGAAAGAAAGAGGAACCGAGAAATAACTGAATTGTGAGCTGAGTATACTGAGGGAAATAATGTATCAGTCTAGTTCTATCCCTCAGAGGGTCATGATGAAGACTACAGAAATGAGAGCTGCTCCTTAGCATTCTCTCTCATTGAGAGTCCATCTCTTACTGTGTGTGTCCTGTTGGCCAATGAGCAGTGCTTAGAAAGTGTTGGGGAAGCTACTCTGAAAATATAGTTTGGGAAGCTACCAATTACTTCACACTGGAAGAAGTTAAGCTATACTAAAGCTACCCTTAAGAAAAATATAGTTTTATTAAACTAAAGTTACTTTACAAAAGGAGTTCACTATATCCAAACTACTTCGTGAAAATTATCATATGTAAATCTCGCAATGTCATAGACTACAAATTGCAAGAACACATCACTTTGGGGTCATATGTCAACAGAATGTGTAATTTAGCCTACTAAACACAAAAACGATGTTTCAATTGAGAATTAAGTCCTGTGTGGCTCAATTGGAAGAGCATGGCACTTGCAAAGCCAGGGTTGTGGGTTTGATTCCAATGGGGGACCAGTAAGAAAATGTATGCATTCTGGATAAGTGTGTCTGCTAAATGACAGAAATGAATTAGGCAGGTGTGATGCAGAAAAATAAAGGAAATTATTGCCTACATCACCCATATTTTATTTTTGCAAAACAGTAGTGTGGAGTTCCAGTAGTTAGCTACACCCCTACATGGCAAAAAAAAAAGTAATTAGGTGTGCTTGCTGAAGGCAAAGCACAACTCTAGATTTCTTACATACTCATACTCATATTATTATTATTATTTGATTTCTTTAGCCCGCTTAAGAGCTTAAACGATTTAACACGAAACCAACAATGTGGAAAAAAGGGCCATAGTCTTGAATGGAAAAAAAAAATCTAAATTCTAGACCTATCTCCTCTTTCACTGTTTAAGCTATTAATTCCAAACCAACGTTGAGATGTTCAGACTGGCCCAAATTAGATTGCTTATCAAATGATGTTTTTAAACAATGTATACTTTTTGACCTATAACGATTTTAAATGTGCATAAATTAACATGGGTTTAAATTAGAACCATAGGAATACAGAGGTAGCTTTTCAAAATGGACCAGTTCCTTGGCCAATTAAGCTACAAGACCAACTTTAAAACATTCAGGCTATCCCAACTTCCAAATCTTTATTAACTATAACTACATATATTTGCATAAATTAACTCACCAACAGTAACTCTTGAACCGTTCAAGCTAGAGACACCAAACCAACTTTCACATGTTCAGGCTATTGTAACTTCCGATTCTTAAAAACATTTATAAACGATAACTATTCAAATTTGCTACATTTGCATAAAATACCTCACCCACAGTAACTCTTGAACCATTCAAGCTAGAGACAACAAACCAACTTTCACATATTCAGGCTATCCTAGCCTATCCTATGCTTTTCTAGTTATCTACTGAAAACACTACCAATATTTGAATTTAGTTCAACTACCACTAAGCTACTGCAAAAGGTAGTTAAATTACTGGTTGAACTACATAGTTCACTAATCCCCAACACTGTGCTTACAGCAAGTACACTATTACTGCTCCCAAACTGACTGTAATAATGTGTATGGCCAGTGCTGTATCTGAGCCATGGCACGTTTACTATAGCATGTCATTCTCTGGGACCAGTCTGAGTGGTTCCCTATCCACTGATACAGGATCAGATATTTTTCTATACCTCTTATGGTTAAGGTTAGGACTTGGGGATGATAAGCTGCTATAAGCTGATCCTAGATCTCTAGAGAGTAACCTCTACCTATAGTGAGTATTACAGGAGCCACCTGATATATGAACTGTAGACCAAAGCTGTCAGACCAAAGAGAGCATTAGAAAACCAAACTCACCAAGCCAATGCTCTTCAGATGTTGGTTGTATTTATACCATTTTTATATACCATATATTTTTCTACTGATTTTTTTTAATGCTTTTTGTCTTTTGTAAACAATATAAAATGGTGAATGTATACTTTCAAATACATTATCATTATAGATTGAGTAAGCACCTTACATTTATACAACTCCAATAACATATCATGCTTAAAATCTTATCCTGTGAATTTAAAAATATATATATTTTCATGTACATTATATAAAGTGGGATTTTTATTTGATGGACAATTCCACACAAGGCATCTGTTTCTCCATTGCTCTTGTCATGTAATGAGTTATGGTAGGCAAGCATTGTGAGTTCAAAGGCCCTTTCCAAACAGGGAAAAATTAATGCATGTAATGAACTAATGAGAACCCATGTGACATGGAAGAGGGCATTGCTCTCTGAGGGGAGAGAGAGGAGGGAGGTGGAGATGGTGGGGGGATGTTGTGATAACTGGGCCAAGCATTTACAACTGCCATCTTGAGTGATGATATACAAGGTTAATAAACTCTATCAGCAGACATGTTCAGGCCTCATCTTTTTACCGCAGAAAAGGTTGTGTCAAGGAGTCATGCCAGGAGATGGCATGTTTTTAATTTATAGAGCAACTGTGTCTTGCTGACTTACTGTCTTACACAGGTATGGGGTGACACAAGCTGGTGCATGAACGATTGTGTGTGTGTGTGTGTGTGTGTGTGTGTGTTTGTGTGGAGTTGCTCAGATGGGACCTGCCAAGACCTCCCTAACAGTGATATATCTTATATCTGAATGCACCTGAATCTCACAATATCAGAGTTAACATCTGTGTGTGTGCGCGAGTGTGTGTCTGCTGGCTGGCTCTGAGTGAGTGAGTGAGTGAGTGAGTGACACTCCCCTGCGAGGGTATATAGGTGCCTCCCACCCTTTTCCTACTCAAGGCTCTGATGAAGGCGATTCATGACGAATTGTAAGCCTATTGTTTGTTGGTCCCGTCAATATATCCATCAGATTTACACAGAAACAGAGTGCTCCTTTTTCTTTATACTCCCGGTTAGTCACCAGTTAAAGTATCCTGGGGTAAGGATTTTTGGGGGATAAATTAAATTAAATTTGTATACGTTTGTATTACATTTACATTTACATTTTAGTCATTTAGCAGACGCTCTTATCCAGAGCGACTTACAGTTAGTGAATACATATATATTTTTTATTTTTTTATGTATTACTTATGCATATGCATAAGTAATTGAACGTATACACATTTAATTTATCTCTGACCCCTTAATGACCAGTCAGTTAGTCACAGAGGTGTCTGTCAACAGTCTTCGAATAATTTGTCAGAAGTCTCCTCTTTTGTCTATGTACACAGACTAACCCTTACCTCAGCCACATCTCCCCTTCTTTTATCACATTGTGAAACTGCATCCCATGTCTGTACCCTGCTTCCTCTGTGTATGTGTGTGTGTGTGTGTGTGTGTGTTTTCTTACGCAAATCTGACCCATATTGCCATGAAAACATGAAGTTGTGAAATGCTGAATGGTTTAATGCCTGAGGTTAACCGTTTCCACTGACATTGAACAATCAGGGACTGATGTCTTCCAGGCATGGCTTTGGTTGTATTTGTTCTGGGAAGGGTTACCGTGACCACAGGAATCTCTTCCCAAACTTTGAACATTTATTTCGAATAATTTCATACAAGAAACATGACTCAATGCAAACATACCACATACACTGCACATACTCCTCATCTATGTTTAATTTGAAAGATAATCTGAAGTACAGAGAAGAATGAGAAGACTATATGTGACCCGTTCCAGGAAGCTAGGTGTATGTCGCACGTCACTACTTCACAGGAGAGGCATTTGAATGTAAAAACTTATTTTTTAAACAAAATGCGTTTTGGGGCAGAAATGCCTTCTGGAACATGTGAACTTTCATGTGCCTTTAATAACAAACTTGTATGCCATCTGTAAATACAAATACAATTGTAAAATTACGAGCCTAGTTGGTTTAGCCACGGAAAAAGACAGGAACCTTTCCTCTAGCCATGATTGGCTGAGATAATGAGTGGGCTGGACATGCCGATAGATTAGTTCGGATTGGTCTGCCATGGAGCATGCTTCTGTCTATAACATGAGCTGCTCAGTATGTGTAGATAATCCTTTCTACCGCACCTTTTTTGAAAGATATCATGAAGAACTGCAAAAGTGTTGCTACTGCTCTCAACATTGCTGCCCTGAATTTAACAGGCGCTATCGACAACGTTCAGTGGGAAAAAGTTGTGATGGCCTACTTTCTGGAGGACGATCGTGCCATGCTGACTCTCTCTGATTCTGAAAATGAATCAGACGATGAGGAAATCTCTGATTTAGGTAAAAACAATATAATTGAACCAGACATTGTAGTGTCTTCTGATGATGATCAACAGTGTTGTTGTCACAGAAGAGTATGATTGCAAATGCGGTCAGAGTCAAAAAGAGAACCCAGAAGGCTGTTGTATAAAACACCTGTCTCCGGATTACATCTTCAAACTAAGGTCAACCATGGTATCCATGACAGAGAGGGAGAAGCGTTCATCCATGTATACGGGTAAGAGTCTAGCTAAATTTTCAGATATTATACGTTTCCAATTTTTTTAGAAAGTTATTTTCATTGCAAGATAAAGCGTACTGTTAGCTAGCTAACTAACGTTAGCTGGCTGGCTCGCTAGCTAACGTTACGTGTAAGAGCTGTGTTGTAATATTATCTGCATCTCAGAAATCCATTTGCATTGCTAGTTATAGCCTAATGTTAGCTAACTAGCTAACATTGAACCTAACTGGTTAGCTTTAGCTACCTGCAGATTCATGCATGGTGCATGGTAGTATGGCTTGGGAATATGGGTCTAGATAAAAGACTCCACTATGCAAGTAACCATTTCACTGTACTGTTTACACATTTTACATTTACATTTTAGTCATTTAGCAGACGCTCTTATCCAGAGCGACTTACAGTTAGTTTATTTTTCATACTGGCCCCCCTTGGGAATCGAACCCACAACCCTGGTGTTGCAAACGCCATGCTCTACCAACTGAGCTACATCCCTACACTTCTGTATCCTATGCATGTGACAAATAAACTTTGATTTTATTTTATATAGTGTGTGTTTACCAGAGACGGTAACGTGAAGAACAACATGACCTGCACCAAAGTCAGATTAGGATGCAGTGAGGGAAAAAAGTATTTGATCCCCTGCTGATTTTGTACGTTTGCCCACTGACAAAGACATGATCAGTCTATAATTTTAATGGTAGGTTTATTTGAACAGTGAGAGACAGAATAACAAAAAAATCCAGAAAAACGCATGTCAAAAATGTTATAAATTGATTTGCATTTTAATGAGGGAAATACGTTTTTGACCCCTCTGCAAAGCATGACTAAGTACTTGGTGGCAAAACCCTTGTTGGCAATCACAGAGGTCAGACGTTTCTTGTAGTTGGCCACCAGGTTTGCACACATCTCAGGAGGGATTTTGTTCCACTCCTCTTTGCAGATCTTCTCCAAGTCATTAAGGTTTCGAGGCTGACGATTGGCAACTCGAACCTTCAGCTCCCTCCACAGATTTTCTATGGGATTGGCTAGGCCACTCCAGGACCTTAATGTGTTTCTTCTTGAGCCACTCCTTTGTTGCCTTGGCCGTGTGTTTTGGGTCATTGTCATGCTGGAATACCCATCCACGACCCATTTTCAATGCCCTGGCTGAGGGAAGGAGGTTCTCACCCAAGATTTGATGGTACATGGCCCCGTCCATCGTCCCTTTGATGCGGTGAAGTTGTCCTGTCCCCTTAGCAGAAAAACACCCCCAAAGCATTTTTATTTATTTAAAGCATAATGTTTCCACCTCCATGTTTGACGGTGGGGATGGTGTTCATGGGGTCATAGGCAGCATTCATCCTCCTCCAAACACGGCGAGTTGAGTTGATGCCAAAGAGCTCCATTTTGGTCTCATCTGACCACAAAACTTTCACCCAGTTCTCCTCTGAATCATTCAGATGTTCATTGGCAAATTTCAGACGGGCCTGTATATGTGCTTTCTTGAACATGGGGACCTTGCGGGCGCTGCAGGATTTCAGTCCTTCACGGCGTAGTGTTTTACCAATTGTTTTCTTGATGACTATGGTCCCAGCTGCCTTAAGATCATTGACAAGATCCTCCCGTGTAGTTCTGGGCTGATTCCTCACCATTCTCATGATCATTGCAACTCCACGAGATGAAATCTTGCATGGAACCCCTGGCCGAGGGAGATTGACAGTTATTTTGTGTTTCTTCTATTTGCGAATAATCGCACCAACTGTTGTCCCCTTCTCACCAAGCTGCTTGGCGATGGTCTTGTAGCCCATTCCAGCCTTGTGTAGGTCTAAAATCTTGTCCCTGACATCCTTGGAGAGCTCTTTGGTCTTGGCCATGGTGGAGAGTTTGGAATCTGATTGATTGATTGCTTCTGTGGACAGGTGTCTTTTATACAGGTAACAAGCTGAGATTAGGAGCACTACCTTTAAGAGTGTGTTCCTAATCTCAGCTCGTTACCTGTATAAAAGACACCTGGGAGCCAGAAATCTTTCTGATTGAGAGGGGGTCAAATACTTATTTCCCTCATTAAAAATGCAAATCAATTTATAACATTTTTGACATGCGTTTTTCTGGATTTTTTTGTTGTTATTCTGTCTCTCACTGTTCAAATAAACCTACCATTAAAGTTATAGACTGATCATTTCTTTGTCAGTGGGACAACGTTCAAATTCAGCAGGGGATCAAATACTTTTTTCTCTCACTGTATATGCTAAGGACTAGATAGTGTATTTTTACCAATACATTCTGCTTCTACATGTGAATCCTTATAGAGATGGGTGGGACTAAGGCTTAAGAGGGTGTATACGATGCTGAATGGTGAATGGGTGTAGACAAAGAGCTCTCCAGTAGGTGTACCAAAACATTCACAGGCCATTTTCTCAAAAGTGGGGTTACAAGTTTATCAACTTTCAAAGCAGAATTACTTTCCCATTGTTCCTCAACTGCAGTATATGACATAAAATTTTCTAGCTTTGAGTGTCTACTTTTATCCAATTTAAAAACTATCCCCAAAAAAATGACAAAGGGAAGAGGGTTTTAGAAATGTTTGCAAATGTATAAAAAAACAAAAACAGAAATAAGTTATTTACATAAGTATTCAGACCCTTTGCTATGAGACTCGAAATTAAGCTCAGGTGCATCCTGTTTCCATTGATCATCCTTGAGATGTTTCTACAACTTGATTGGAGTCCACCTGTGGTAAATTCAATTGATTGGACATGATTTGGAAAGGCACACACCTGTCTATATAAGGTCCCACAGTTGACAGTGCATGTCAGAGCAAACACCAAGCCATGAGGTCAAAGGAATTGTCCGTAGAGCTCCGAGACAGGATTGTGTCAAGGCACAGATCTGGGGAAAGGTACCAAAACATTTCTGCAGCATTGAAGGTCCCCAAGAACACAGTGGCCTCAATCATTCTTAAATGGAAGAAGTTTGGAACCACCCCGGCCAAACTGAGCAATTGGGGGAGAAGGGCCTTGGTCAGGGAGGTGACCAAGAACCCGATGGTCACTCTGACAGAGCTCTGGAGTTCCTCTGTGGAGATGGGAAAACCTTCCAGAAGGACAACCATCTCTGCAGCACTCTACCAATTAAGCCTTTATGGTAGAGTGGCCAGACGGAAGCCACTCCTCAGTAAAAAGCACATGACAGCCCACTTGGAGTTTGCCAAAAGGCATCTAAAGACTCTCAGTCCATGAGAAAGAAGATTCTCTGGTCTGATGAAACCAAGATTGAACTCTTTGGCCTGAATGCCAAGCGTCACGTCTGGAGGAAACCTGGCACCTTCCTTACAGTGAAGCATGGTGGTTTCTCAGCGGCAGGGACTGGGAGACTAGTCAGGATCAAGGCAAAGATGAACGGAGCAAAGTACAGAGAGATCCTTGATGAAAACCTGCTCTAGAGCGCTCAGGACCTCAGACTGGGGAGACAGTTCACCTTCCAACAAGACAACGACCCAAAGCACACAGCCAAGACAATGCAGGAGTGGCTTCGGGACAAGTCTCTGAATGTCATTGAGTGGCCCAGCCAGAGCCCAGACTTGAACCCAATCGAACATGTCTGGAGAGACCTGAAAATAGCTGTGCAGCAACGCTCTCCATCCAACCTGACAGAGCTTGAGAGGATCTGCAGGGAAGAATGGGAGAAACTCCCCAAATACAGGTGTGCCAAGCTTTTAGCGTCATACCCAAGAAGACTCAAGGCTGTAATTGCTGCCAAAGGTGCTTCAACAAAGTACTGAGTAAAGGGTCTGAATTCTTATGTAAATGTGATATTTTATTTTTTATTTTTAATAAATGAGCAAAAATGTATACAAAACAGTTTTTGCTTTGTTATTATAGGGTATTGTGTGTAGATTGATGAGGGAAAAAACAATTTAATCAATTTTAGAATAAGGCTGTAACCTAACAAAATGTGGAAAAAGTCAAGGGGTCTGAATACTTTCCAAAGGCACTGTTTGTTTTGTGTTAGTACTGTAATTTGTGTTAGTCCCCTGTAGCTCAGTTGGTAGAGCATGGCGCTTGTAACGCCAGGGTTGTGGGTTCGTTTCCCACAGGGGGCCAGTATGAAAATGTATGCACTCACTAACTGTAAGTCGCTCTGGATAAGAGCGTCTGCTAAATGACTAAAATGTAATGTAAATGTAATTTTGTTTCCCAGCACAATAGCTAAGAAAATACCATCCAAGAGTAAAATGTATTGCCAAATCAACCCAACCCTTTACTGGAAACAGCTATAGTATGTCAACTCTATAAAGTTATACAACTCCCTCTATGGTGTCAGACAGACAGACAGAAATACTTAAAACTTCAATGTTTATTTCTTGCATCGCAATTGACAATATTATGAAGAGTATATTTTTGGTTAAAGTATGTGCCTCTGTTTAAAAATTATGAGAGCTGTACTTTTCAATCACATTCCTTTTTCTGAAAACAACTTGAAACTATCAGTTGTGAGTGTTCAGACTTTTGGTCTGAACTTTTGGTCTGAATGGTATTCATACATGATTAAGAAACTGTATTATATGATCCATGGCTGAATCTAGCCGCTTGTCCACCCTCTCATATTGTGCATTTATGACACAAAGAAGCTTAAGCTTAACGATGGCTGATCCCCTCCTAGGACCTGCTTAGAATACAGTGTGTGTGTGTGTGTGTGTGTTTGTGTGTGTGTGTTTATATCCCCAGCTTAAAGTGGGTTGACCACCCTGCCAATAAAGAGCAGTGCCCCCGAGGCCTCGTCCCTCACCAGGAACAGGAAGGGACGGTCCACGCGGTACGACAGAGGTGTGGAGGCGGGGCGGGAGCTGGCATACTGGGTGCCCTCTGGGGCCATCTCCATAACAACCTTATGATTGAGGCTGCCGAGCTTCGCCGTCTGAGACGTGATCTTAGTCAGGTCCGTGTCTGCCAGAAATTCGTTGAGACCTGGCGAGATGGAGAAAGAGGATGTGAAGGCAGAAGAAGAGCAAGATGACGAGAGAGAATGAGGGAGTGAGAGGAAGAGAGAGGGAGGGAGGTGAAGAAACTCACCCAGTTCAGGGAGAAGTGGCAGGAGGTCAGTGGAGTAGCTGAATTTTAGGACAGGCAGTGTGAGGGCTGCCTGCACGGGGTGAAGGGTCATGGAGAGGTCCTGAACAAACTCAGCTGTCAGGCTCTCCTCCACCAAGGTCATGTTCTGAGTGACATCATCAGGAAGGAACACAAACATGCTGACGTCATCCTGCATCTGGATCTGAGCAATCTGGAGAGAAAGGGAGAGGAAGTGTGGGGGAGATCATCAATAGCTGTTTTCCCTGAGGCAAACTGGATAACTGGCTAGTTACGAAAGTAATGACCACTGGAAAAAGCATAATTGCTGAATATACTGCATCTGTACTCACTGTACAGCCCAGGTCTGGGTCTACGCCCATTTTCACCGGGTAATTGTCCTGTTGCATCATGGGAATGCGAGCGGGAGCCTCTCCAACAAGCTGGAAGTCCTCCATCGCACCACTCTGACTGAACCGAATTATCCACTTCCCTACACACACACAAACAGCATGTTACAAACAGCGCCCCATAAACGAGTGCACACTTTGGGGAGAAGGGTAGAGAATTGGACCGCACAGACTGTCCATACCTTTGAAGTAGGCGGCGCCCAGAGGGACCACACCAGAGTTCCGTCCCAGGGGCTTGGATATGAAGTGGTCGACCTTGCCGCCCGTCTGCTGTTTGACCCAATCATTGATCTCATTCACATCTTTAGCCCCACCCATCAGAGCCTTGGGCCGCACCCCATACTGCTTCTCTACCACGCCAAAGTATTCCTGCTTCAGACGCAGTCCTAGAGAGATACACACATACATAAACAAACACTGGTCAACAAACATACACACAATCACAACACACACAGACCGATCAAAATTATCACAGAGACACATGCATGCTTACACACACACACTCACTTCGGGCCAGGTAGACACGTGCAGCGATGCTGAGGCCTTTGCCAGGTGCTCTGAGTGAGGCCAGTAGGTCTCTGAGAGTGTTGTGGAGCTGAGGGTCCTGCAGGGTGTGATACCTCAGAGCTCTGTATAACCACCTCTCTGAACGATCCGGAGATGCTCCTGAGAGAGAGAGAGAGAGAGAGAGAGAGAGAGAGAGAGAGAGAGAGAGAGAGAGAGACATGTAATTACCATTTTGCCAATTAAATACCAGATAAATAGCAGACAGTGATGTAAAGTATAACAGTGCTGAGGCTTACTAACCCATGGATAGCTGAGTGAGCGCTGCAGAGATGCTGATGGGTGCCAGGAACACATTAGACTTGGGGTCGCGACCAGCCAGGGCCCGGAACAGGTTGAAGCCGAAGTCAGAGGTGGCAGCTGCCATCTTGGCTCTGGGCGTGGTAAAGAGCTCCACAGCTTCCTCTTCCCCTCCCGCCTCCTCTGCCTCCAACTGCATGGGATTGGTCAATCGAAAGACACAGGAAGGTTATTGACATGGCTTGTTCATGGAGAATGAGAAAGAAAAGGAGATAGAGAAAGAGAAGTGATGTGACAAAGAGTGATGCTGTTCGGAATTGGCAAGCCAGAATGAAAATGGAGGGACATAGAAATGAAGTGACTGGAGAATCTACTAGAGGAAGACGATGAGAGAGATGCAGATGAAGTGTAGAATAGGAAAGCCAAAGGGATAGAGTGAATATAAGACATGAGAGTATAACAAAGAATTCAGTGTGTAAACGGAGATGTGGAGTAGTCTCACCAACTGAGCATAAGAGAGGGAGAGGAGGGCCCCCAGACACAGCATTAGGGTCGTCCGCATCATCCTGCAACACAAATACACACTCAATTACACACACATTATTATTCAAACATACACACTCTCCATTGAGAATGCTTTTTGTTCCAGGACTAGGCTTAATCTGTGTCTGGGAAACTGGCCCATAGTGTGTGAGTCAGATTTTTAGATTGTGAGTGTGATTGGCTGCAGGGCTCCTGTGGGAGAATGTGGTTTTAACTTACGATAAACCCTGTCAGCATCTCTTCTTTTCCCTCTTCTTTTCTTGCTCTCACTAGGCGGTGATGTTTAGACGTTTGTGTGTTCAGACTGAGCTCCATTTCTTCTTCTTACTGAGTAGATACTAAACCATGTAATATATCCGAAACTTCTGGCTCTCCACACACACACAGATTGTAGCTAACACACAATACAAGCAGAGGCAGATTGTTCACACCCGTTTACTAGCTAGTCACACTAGCACAGCTAGTAATGTTAATGAGCTTTGTGGCGTGAATAGAGTCATACAGAGTCCAGAGAGGTGAGCAGACTAATTGACAGACAGAGCAGTGACAAACTGAAAGGTCACAGGAGGTGGAGATCAGAGATTATGGAGAGTTTGAAGAGGCTGCTTTTTCAGACCACACACACATTAACACATAATAGTATAACTCTGCCAGTTCTCATTCCCAACACCCCCTCAATTTCTTTCATTCTCCCTCTCTCTCACATTCTTTCTCTTTTACCCACACACACTCCCTCGTTCCCTCAACACATCTGGTTGTCATTGAGGTTCTCCTGGTTTCCCTGATGAAAAAAACATCCATCACTGAACGTCGGACCACAGACTCCTCTCAATTCCTTTCTTCTTCTCTGCAGGCCTGATGGTTAACCCAGGCACTTGATCTCCTTCCAACCCAAAGAAGCCAGCCAAACCCACAGAGAGACCTTCTCTCCGTAGAGGCTGCTCTCTACCACACTACCATTCACAATCACAAGCATGGTGAATTCAAGACAACTTACCACAATGTTTGGCAAATGGTACTGTAGGTCGTATTGTTCGGCTAATGCTACTGTAGGTCTCACCAAACTACTGCTCTCCTACACACCCACACATCTACTCCCATTCTTTCAGGCCATGAACAATGAATCTCCTGCCATGAGAATGTCTATATCCTACAGGCCCTAAGGTACGGACCACTATGGACACAGCATTCTTCACTTGTACAGTATGTGCTCTATACACATCTCCTCGCATATGGTGTCCAGACATGTCTTTAGTCTTTTCTCTATTAGACAGGTTTGCAGTTGATTTAAACCATCTTGAGTGGTTACTGTGATATTGGACTGACTAAAAACAGGGACAATTACACAAGATGTTTGGGCTCTGGGAAAGGTTAGTCTTGGTGTGTTTCCCTTGGCGCCCTGCTGAGCAGCTTGAATGGAAATGCTGAACCAGTGAAAAGTAGCCTACTGGAAAAGAAAAGGTACCAGTGGAGCAAATTCACCAGAACATTGTGCACTTGTTTTAGTCAAAAGCATTGATTATTCACTCCTGATATAGAGATTAAGTTATCCCATAAAATGAAGGCTTTAAGACACCAGATAACACTACAAAGCCGGATTAAAAAGCTTTACAAAAAAAATCCTGCTTTCTAAAGAGGTGTTATTAGGTCTGCTCCCTTCTGTAAAGGTTGTTGCACAGGTTCTGACTGGAGAAAACTGAAATAACGTTAAGGTTTATTGCCCGAGTCTTTCATGCCATGCAATTGACGTTGATAAAATGGGATAATAAAACATCCCATGACGCATAAAAGTGACTGACCTTTTAGCACGATTATGGATCCACGTCGCCCGCCCCTGTGTCTCAAGCAGCCGTCTCTCGGGTGGAGTGCTGAATGTAACGGGGCGATTCACACAGCGGTGTATGGAAGCCTTGAAACTAACTTTCACCCGCCCTGCTCTGACGTAGCGGAGGATATAGCAGGTTGGGTTTGGCAAGAAGCTGGATGGCTGTTTTGAGCGCAAGGCGCATTCATGGTCCTTTCTCTCCCTCACTGCCCAAAACATAACGGTGTCAAATTTGACGCGCAAGAAATTGACCTAAAATGTTAAGTATTTTTTGAATTGTAAGAACGTGCTGGAGGAAATAGTTAATGCTGCAATATGAAACTTTTTGGGCTACCCGACCAAATTCACATAGAAATTAGTTATAGATCTGTCACTCATTGAAAGCAAGTCTAAGAATCGGTAGATATTTTTTGTGCATCATTTCTATGCTTCTAGTAATTAACTTTCGGTTTGGTACAACAGCGCCACACAGCTGCAAAAAATATTTTTGGTTATGGTAAATATATTTCATTCTGATTTAGATGGTACAATGATTCTCTACACTTGCTTGTTTTGTCCAACTGAAATTAGGCGAACTATTAGAATTTTAGCAACCAGGGAATGGCAGAGAGATTTCTGCATAGTGCATCTTTAAATTATAGGTTGTGAGGTAGAAGTCCTGCCAATAAAAAATAAAATACTCCCCAGTTCTTATACCAAAACACCAGTAACATGATCACATCCACTACTAAGACAGACTTTAGCCCTTTTCTTTAATCAATACCAGAGGTGGGAATAATCAGAATGAGAAAGTATGACATCACAAAGCACAACAAATAGTGTAAGACAGTGCACAACCAAGTGTAAAAATAGCATCCAATTTGAGTGTTCATCCACACAGTGTAGTATGGGACAGGTCCATGGTCTCTCCTATCTCATTGGGTTGTAGTCAGGGGGCATACACTGGGGAGGGGAGGTACTGTGAGAAGTTGTCAGGTGTCTAGGCATAGGGGTTGATTTTTGTCTGGGAACTGTGCCTTTTGGATTGGGATAGGGTTTTGCTATACGAGGGATAGGATCCATATATGACCAGCTGGTCGGGCAGTGTCGTTCAGGACAGAAGAGTGAGAGATGGGTTTGGGAAGGCTGGGCATCAAAGTTGGTTTAGGAAGGAACCATATGAGAGGGGTTGGCACAGGATCTTTGCCCTGCCACTTGGGTGTTGGAGTTTCCCCTCCACTTCATTCAGGGGCTGCTGTTGCGCCTCCCCTCCCGCATGGGCACCACACTGCATTCTCACTTTGTGGCTGGTCACTGTACATTGTTGCTGCTATGGGGACCGTCGCTCTGTACGTCGTTGTTACTATTAGTGCTGTCACTTTGGGTCCTGTTGCCATGGGGATCATCACCGAGAAGACTGTTAATCCGCATTGGGCTGGTGTCAGGGGCAGGGTTAGTGACAGTGCCCAGGAAGAGGGGAGCAAGGGAGGCGTGGTCTACCAGGGCGAACAGAAAGGGGGAGTTTACGAAGAAGATGGGAATGGAGCGCATCATGGTAACAGAGGTGGCTGCAGACGCATCAGCCCCTTCTTCACTCAGCTCCACCCCGCAGGCATGACGCACACTGGACACCTGCAGAGGAACCGCCGAGATACCGGACAGATCAGGACCAGAGAACAGAGATCCCAAACCTGAGAGAGAAGAGAGATTTTGATTGAGCATTCATCCATCCAATATACTGTAATTATTGACTGCTGTAATACACCTGTCTGTTTCTAGCTCACTTAAACTATGCCAGGAGTTCTTCCAGACCTGAGAGGAAAAACTCCTGGCCAAAACTATTGACCCTTCTGTGCTAGTCTCTCTAGACAGACAGGTTGCCTCCCAAAATGTACCAATGTTCCAGCATGCACGTCTGTACTAAGACCAACGTCAGTTTGGCAGAGAGGAAAGCGCGGAGTTGGGCTCTGGAAAATCCATCCAGAGCCCCGCCGCAAACATTTCCGGTAGCTAGCTAGGAGCTTGCGGAGGATATTTTCAATGAGTGTATTTCACAACTGAGTAGTTTGCATGCGCCATGACATCAGCGTTACAAGCTTACAACCACTGGCTAAAATTACCCTAACCATCTTCATCTGCATTGTGTGTCCACCTCATGTTTGAGGGGATTCTTTTTATGCCCCGCCTACCCAAACTTATGATTTGTTGGGAGAGTCATCTGTCTGAACAGCCAAGAAAATTTGACATGATTCCCCGAACTAGTGCGATTGCCCTAGGTCTGGAATTTCCTAGACTACTTCTGTGCTCACCCATGCTGGTCAGCGCCTCCTGTAGCTCTTGACGGTACTGCAGGGTGAACTTGGGCAGTTGGACCTGCATGGTGCTCTCCTGAGGTAGACGCCTGTACAGGTCCGAGATGTTCAGCTTGGTCACCAGCGATGACACATTTCCTCTTCCTGGCAACGGCATCACTACCAGGAAGCTGGTGTTTCCCTTAAATGGAAAACGTGCGACCTGCAAACACAGGGGGGGGTACATTTTAGAACGGGAGAATGCCCAAACTGCACTGTAGAGAGATTAAGAGAAAGGTGGAGAGAGACAAGAACAGTCTTATCAACGTTTCAGCAGCAAGATCTTTTCAAAACAAATCTCCAGTAGAAGGGTGTGTCAAAATATAGAAATGGAGAAAGACCGCAGCAGACGGCAGAACACAGCCAGCCCAGCTCACCTGAGCCCCAAGCTCCCCATCTTCTAACAGGCTCAGTGGGTACTTGGCTGAACGCATCATGTCCACATGGACAAAGTTCTTATTGTCCAGGTAGAAGACATCCTTCTGCGTGAGCTGAGGGTCGAAGCGAGCCTCCCACTCACCTACCAGAGACAACAGGAGAACAAGCCACAGTTGTAAGAGGTAGACACTAATGTATGGTATACAGTTTCAAAACCTATATTTTAAAACAGGGAGTGAAAGGGCATACCTTTGAAATGCACAGCATTGATAAGCATGAGCACGATGTCATGCGGAATACTAGGCAGGAAATTGGTAATGTGACCTTTGGTGGCATCCTCCACCCATTGGTTGACCTCCTCCACTGAGATCAGGGGGGCGGGCTCTGATCTGTACCTATGCAGGGATTCTGCAACAAAGGACTGGTACACCTCAAACTCTGAGAGAGAGAGGTGAACAGAACACATACACAAAGTGTCAAAATAATTGTCAGACCTTTACTGCATTAACGGCAGTTACAATGGGTGTGCTTTATAATTATGTTAGTAGATTGTCATTTTCTGGCACAGAGCTGCAGCACTAACATCTGCTCATCCTGGAAACACACCTGGACGCAGGTACATGCGTGTGGCCACCTGTAGGGAAGTGTTGGTGAGGTGTTGGAGCAAGCTGCCCAGGGTGTGATGGTAGCAGGGTATGGTGTGGGCGTGTAGAGAACTGAGCAACAACTTCTGTGTCTCGTTATGAGCTCCTGATAGGGAAAAACAAGGAGGCAACGACCATGTTGAGCACATTAGGTCTTGGAGATAAAAGCTAACAGACATGCATATACAATCTCAGATACATACTCACTCTTGACATTATACATGCGCACACACACACGTGCCTCACCCAGTGCGAGCTGTGCCAGTGCGAGGGCCACACTTAGGGGTGATAAGATGACGTTGGGCTGCTCCGGCCCTGTCTGCAGGCTGTTCAGTAGCTGCCGGCCCAGTCTCTCTACAGCACCTCCTACTGACCGCCAGGCCTCCTGTCTGAACACCGGCTCTCCACAGGAGTGGTCCTCAGGAGCTACCATACTAGTTTCATCCTGAGAGAGAAAGAGAGTCTTGGGGTTAGACTGTAAAGACCAGGGTAGGGTTAGGTTGCTTCAAAAGTCTTGTAGCCAATCCTTTCCCAATTAAAGGTTAGATATTTAAGGAAGGTTGATGTGTTTTGGGGTGAGGTTATGGTTGGCCCTCTTACAGTCAGTCCCAGCCGACAGAGGCAGAGCAGCAAGAGCACAGGCAGATACAGCGTCATATCCCAACAGCTAGCCTGCAATACAGAACAAACCTGTACAATAATGTAAGGTTACAGGTTCAAGGCCCATTTCGGGGAAAGTCTAAGGATTTTTTTCTTTTTTTATGCAACATTTAAATGATAAAGGTTTGCTTGTATAGAAATAGGTAGGTACACATACAAAACACATTGACATGAATACCCCAACGTTTTCTTAGGTTTCAGGTCCTTTCTAAAGTGCAACAGTGCTTTCACACGACCAGATAGACCAAGTTAAACTACACAGTGACCAAAAACAGTGACAACCAATACTTCACTTAAGGGAGGACGCTATCAACACTGCTTGGACCCAAAGCCAGCAAAGCCTCTCCCAACACAAATCAACTGGAAACAACTTTTCAGAACAACAGACCACAGCACAAACATTTCTTCCCAGACAGCATGTTCATAAAATGGTTACTCACAGAAATTAGACTTGACAAAACCCCTACAATGGATGTTCCAGTACCAAACGCTTACCTGAAAAGAACTCTAGAGTGCTTTTATACATGTCACATGTTCAACACCAATTAAGGTCAGCTGGGAAACATTGGCTGAAACGATGGTTCCTACCCTGTCACAATAACGTTGATATTTAAGATTCAATAACAGTGATTATCAATGCATAGCAATTATTGAACCACTCACTTTTACAGAGCAATAACAAAGTACCTATTGCTGCTGGACAGGGAACCACTAATTGGCTGAGAGGAATTGAGAGCCAATTAAAAGGAGGATTTCTTGGCTAGTGGTCAGTGTGGCGCAGCTTAGGCCTGGTTCTACAGTGCAAAGATGGGTGGTGATTTGCTCTGGGATCACAAGTGTTTGTCAGAGGGCCAAAGGTTTCTGTTTTACTTCTAAAGTCCACAAACAGCAAATACTGGCTTCACTACTTAAATGTTATCTCTACGGATGCATGTTAGTATTAGTGTTTATATATACACTACCGGTCAAAAGTTCTAGAACACCTACTCATTCAGGGGGTTTTCTTTATTTTTACTATTTTCTACATCGTAGAATAATAGTGAAGACATCAAAACTATGAAATAACATATATTTGAGATTCTTCAAATAGCCACCCTTTGCCTTGATGACAGCTTTGCACACTCTTGGCATTCTCTCAACCAGCTTCACCTGGAATGCTTTTCCAACAGTCTTGAAGGAGTTCCCACATATGCTGAGCAATTGTTGGATGCTTTTCCTTCACTCTGCGGTCCAACTCATCCCAAACCATCTCAATTGGGTTGAAGTTGGGTGATTGTGGAGGCTTGGTCATCTGATGCAGCACTCCAGCACTCTCCTTGGTCAAATAGCCCTTACACAGCCTGGAGGTGTGTTTTGGGTCATTGTCCTGTTGAAAAACAAATGATAGTCCCACTAAGTGCAAACCAGATGGGATGGCGTATCGCTGCAGAATGCTGTGGTAGCCATGCTGGTTAAGTGTGCTTTGAATTCTAAATAAATCACAGACAGTGTCACCAGCAAAGCACCCCCACACCATCACACCTCCTCCTCCATGCTTCACGGTGGGAACCACACATGCGGAGATCATCTGTTCACCTACACTGCGTCTCACAAAGACACGGCAGTTGGAACCAAAAATGTTCCATTTGGACTCATCAGACCAAAGGACACATTTCTACCGGTCTAATGTCCATTGCTTGTGTTTCTTGGCCCAAGCAAGTCTCTTCTTATTATTGGTGTCCTTTAGTAGTGGTTTCTTTGCAGCAATTCGACCATGAAGGCCTGATTCACGCAGTCTTCTCTGAACAGTTGATGTTGGGATGTGTCTGTTACTTGAACTCTGGGAAGCATTTATTTGGGCTGCAATCTGAGGCTGGTAACTCTAATGAACTTATCCTCTGCAGCAGAGGTAACTCTGGGTCTTCCTTTCCTGTGGCAGTCCTCATGAGAGCCAATTTCATCATACCGCTTGATGGTTTTTGCGACTGCACTTGAAGAAACGTTCAAAGTTCTTGAAATGTTCCGTATTGACTGACCTTCATGTCTTAAATTAATGATGGACTGTTGTTTCTCTTTGCTTATTTGAGCTGTTCTTGCCATAATATGGACTTGGTCTTTTACCAAATAGAGCTATCTTCTGTATACCACCCCTACCTTGCCACAACACAACTGATTGGCTCAAACGCATTAAGAAGGAAAGAAATTCCACAAATTAACTTTTAACAAGGCACACCTGTTAATTGAAATGCATTCCAGGTGACTACCTTATGAAGCTGGTTGAGAGAATTCCAAGAGTATGCAAAGCTGTCATCAATGTAAAGGGTTGCTACCTTGAAGAATGTCATATATGAAATATATTTTGATTTGTTTAATACTTTTTTGGTTACTACATGATTCCATATGTGTTATTTCATAGTTTTGATGTCTTCACTATTATTATACAATGTAGAATAAAATAAAGAAAAACCCTTGAATGAGTAGGTGTGTCCAAACTTTTGACTGGTACTGATATATATATATATATATATATATATATATATATATATATATATATATATATATATATATATATGACTGCATAGAATCATTAGCATTCATAGATTTAGTAGAAATAGTGGTGATATTTATTGATTGATGATTTTAGTGTACATTTACAAGGGCCTCTGTAGTCTTATTTACAAAAAACTGTTTGTGCTATTATTCTATCACTAGTAAACTAATAGCTACAGCCATACATCTAAATCATGTTCCAAATAGCTTTAAAGAAAGTGCACTTACTATAGTAGAATTGTATGGTTTCATGCACTGTGCCAAAAAACCTACTGACTCCCAACACCACAATCCCTTCCAAGCCTCTGTCAAAATGAAACAAGATGGTGAAAACTTACCCAGCCGATGTTTGGTCAGGGGATAGGTAATATAGGCAAATAGGATTAGGATATAGACAGACAGAGAGACAGACAGACAGACAGGCACGGCGAGTGTTCCCCTAGCTGGATCCTGTAGTGCCCAGTACTCTACATTGTCAGCCCCCTCATTAGCCAGTTAATGTTTAACCCTGCATTGATTCAGCAGAGCGACTACTCTACCAGAAAATGTAAATATTAAGATATGTGACCCACAGGTCAAACCTGCCTTTATAAGAGCTGTGGCTCCACAACCTGAACAGAGAGCACTGAGCAGCATTATTCCTTCCCTCTCTCACTTCTTCCCTCTTTCTTTCCTTCCCTCATTTCACAGAAATGTCACTGATTTGCAACATTTAGCAGGTGTAATTAATGTAAAAGTTCCCAGTAGCACAATATTTTCACCTTTCTGCTCTCATCAGATCAGTGGTATCCCTTAGCGAGGAGGAGAGATGCATTTAAATAAGGGGGACCCTTACATTCAGAATCTTAATATCTAACAGTCTAGTAAGGACCTCTATGGCTGCATTTATACAGGCAGCACAATTCTGATCTTATTGTCAGTAATAGTTTTTTTGTTTTTTTGACCAATCAGATCAGCTCCAAATAAGATCTAATGTGAAAATATCTGATGTGATTTGTAAGTCGCTCTGGATAAGAGCGTCTGCTAAATGACGTAAATGTAATGTAAATGTGATTGGTCAAAAGACCAATTAGTGGGAAGAAAAATCAGAATTGGGCTGCCTAAGTAAACACAGCCTAAGTTTCTCTATTTATCTCAGAGGAGGATGGGTGGGGGGGGGGGGGGGGGGGGGGGGGGGGGGGTAGTTTGGATTGTGATATTACTCTCTCTGACCTACAAACACATTTTCCTAGAAAGAGTTTGGAAACCCTCACAGATAGCTCTACAATAGTGGCAAATGTCAAATATCTGCCTACTGAAGTGTCTACATGAGAGCTGATATGTTCCACCATTATAAACACATGCATGTACTTTATTTATAGCACTGTGTCTCCCTCTATCGGCCCTAATGGAGGAAACCCAACATAAGCACTGTAGAATGTTTCTATATGAATCAGAGTTGCTATAACACCATTTTGGGCCTAATCCTAATCCTCTGTCTCTAGCTAGCCCTTTAGGTAAGATAGAGTAAGCACAGAGGGTGTAGTTTGGGGAGGGGGTGGGGGATATTGTTTTTCTTGCACGGACCGCCCCATTCCAGCCCTCCGCCCACACAAGACCTTGGCACAACCGTTGCCACCCCACAATGCACCTGTGAATCAGGCCATCACCTGCTCACCCCCCTTGGGGTGGTTTGGGGTGACTGTCTGTTTACTGCCTCCCATTAGGGTAGCATAAAGGACCCCACCTCACAGCCCCCACATGTTAACTCACAAGCCAATTGATTGTGTTATGTATACAGGCAGGAGAAGCATGGACTGTCTGCATAACTGATGTAGACCTTTACCTGCTACCAATAGCTGACTGCAGAGAACAAGTAGCCTGGATGCAACCTTCTCCACATGGAAACCCTGGCCCTGAAATGCGAGAAAGGAAAGGGAAAGGGGAAAGGGGGATACCTAGTCAGTTGTACAACAAGGTTTTCACTGATTGGATTACCCTGACAATGAAGAAGATGATTGGCCATATTGTATGAATAATGACCTGCAAGGGGTTCTCCATGTTCAAATAAAATTGAAGCTAAAAATACTCTGATTTCATATTTGTGTATTTCTCTGTTTCAGACCATTTTGCCTATTTCAAGTGACATATCGTGCTAAGGACTGAATGTAAGTACAAAATTGGCCATAGGGTGGCAGTGTAGGATCTGAAGTCAAATAATGTGTGTGTGTGTGTGTTGTGTGTGTGTTTTTGTTTTTGTTTAACTATTCTTGTGGGTACCAGAAGGTTTACAGTTATGGTTACAATTAGGGTTAGGGTTAGAATTAAGGTTAGGGTTACGGTTAGAAGTTAGGGTTAGGTATTGTTTTAGAGTTAGGGTAAGGGGTTTGGAGTTAAGGTTAGGCTTAGGGTTAAGGTTAGGGTTATGGTTGGGTTAAGGTTAGGGTTAGGGGTAAAATAGGATTTTGGACGGGAATAAATTATTTGGTCCTCACAAGGATAGCTATACGAAACTGTGTGTGTGTGTGTCAAACCTGGGTTCAAATACTATTTCAAATATCTCAATTACTTTCACATACATTTCAAAGTAAGTATTCAGATATGTTTTATTTGAAAAGACAAGTAGTTGAATATTGGAATGTATTTCGAAATATACTTGGAAAGTATTGGCATGTATTTGAAAATACACAAATGCATTGACTCAAATAGACTCCCATGCATTGAACCCAGGTATTTGAAAATGGTATTTGAAATAAGTATTTGAAAATACTTTAAAATAGTAGGCTATTTATAGGAAATTATTTTAAAATATTTTCAAATACTATTTTCAAATACCAATAGAAGTAGTTGATTGATTTGGGCCAGATTATTTGAAAATACTCAAATATACAGAAAATAAGTATGTAAATAACAAATAATCAAATATACATGTATTTGAACCCAGGTCTGGTGTGTGTGTGTGTGTGTGTGTGTATCTTTGGTGTTTTGGGGAGTGTAACTTTACAAAGAAAGTTTGGAGTTTCCCAGCACCCACTGCTGTTCCAAGGAAACCCTATCTATCTGTCTCCTCTCACCTTATGTCTCTCTCAGTATACAGTACCTTCTAGTTTCAGAGAGCCCTGTTTATTTTCCTATCTAAGATAAAGAAGTTAATATTTAAGTATGAATGTCACTCAAAAGTTTTTTCTCTCTCTAGCTCTCACACGCGCACAAGAATGCCACTCAAAAGTGTTGCCCCACCCACACACACACACACACACACACACACACACATACACAGAGTAAAAAAACACAGAGAGAGTAGAGAGAGAGAGAGAGAGAGACAGAGAGTGAGAGAGATGTCACGTGCAGTCGTGTCCCCACAGTAAAGACGGAGGTATCTGAGTTCTCTCACGTTCTCTCCCTCATAATTTTTGCTTTCTTCCTGGGACGGGACGCACGCAACTCTAATTTATGTCAGTATTCCATGAACGGGAGAAGATGGTGTCCTCGCTCCGGGTGATGTGGAGGTTCAAGGATGGGGTGATTCTGTTCTGTACGCCGTTCCTTCTCCTCCCTCTGCCTCTACTGATCGGAACCACGGTATGCGCCAAATTTCTGGAATGGACTTATTCCAGGGATCTCCTCTTGACCCAATCTAGGCCTTTCTGCACCAAGAGTAGGCTATCTGAGTGATGATTTAAAATATTTCACTAGTAGCCTACTAGTATTCTATCGTCTTGTTAGATATTTCATTAATTATTCATTTGTACACCTGACGCATGCTGATTTTGGCTTAAACATTTATTCCTTTAGGCCTCCCCCCGCGCACGCACACACACACAAACAAACACACACACACATAGCTCCATTATGTTCAGTACACATTCCGTTCTCAGCATCAACAAAACTATTTTTCTTCTGTGGTATATTGGTGATCGCACAATTTAATGTGCATCCCGCCACCTACTGTGCGGGATGGAAACAGGATTCCCAAAAATGGAGAAAAAAAAACGACCAACCCAAAAAAACTACGAAACTATCACAAAAAAACTTTTTAAAAACTACATCAAACAACTTTTCTGTAAAAAAAATACAACAGATCTGATCCCTACACAGGCTCAAGGGGAACCTGGGAGGGCGGGTCTTTCGACGCCAGTAGCCCTTGCAAGTCTTCAGATGTAAAATCCTTAAGTCCTAAAAACGTTTCTGCCGCAGCCACAATAATGTCCAGTTTCTTAGACCTCTTTGAGACTTAGAATAATATGCCATTTTTTTATTTATTTTTTTATTTTTTTATTTCACCTTTATTTAACCAGGTAAGCCAGTTGAGAACAAGTTCTCATTTACAACTGCGACCTGGCCAAGATAAAGCAAAGCAGTGCGATAAAAAACAACAACACAGAGTTACATATGGGGTAAAACAAAACAAAGTCAAAAATACAACAGAAATAAATATATATACAGTGTGTGCAAATGTAGCAAGTTATGGAGGTAAGGCAATAAATAGGCTATAGTGCAAAATAATTACAATTAGTATTAACACTGGAATGATAGATGTGCAAGAGATGATGTGCAAATAGAGATACAGGGGTACAAATGAGCAAAATAAATAACAATATAGGGATGAGGTAGTTGGGCGGGCTAATTTCAGATGGGCTGTGTACAGGTGCAGTGATCGGAAAGGTGCTCTGACAACTGATGCTTAAAGTTAGTGAGGGAGATAAGTGTCTCCAGCTTCAGAGATTTTTGCAATTTGTTCCAGTCATTGGCAGCAGAGAACTGGAAGGAATGGCGGCCAAAGGAGGTGTTGGCTTTGGGGATGACCAGTGAGATATACCTGCTGGAGCGCATACTACGGGTGGGTGTTGCTATGGTGACCAATGAGCTAAGATAAGGCGGGGATTTGCCTAGCAGTGATTTATAGATGGCCTGGAGCCAGTGGGTTTGGCGACGAATATGTAGTGAGGACCAGCCAACAAGAGCGTACAGGTCACAGTGGTGGGTAGTATATGGGGCTTTGGAGACAAAACGGATGGCACTGTGATAGACTACATCCAATTTGCTGAGTAGAGTGTTGGAGGCTATTTTGTAAATGACATCGCCGAAGTCAAGGATCGGTAGGATAGTCAGCAAACGCATTTAGCAGACGCTTTTATCCAAAGCGACTTACAGTCATGTGTGCATACATTTTTACATATGGGTGGTCCCGGGGATTGAACCCACTACCCTGGCGTTACAAGCGCCATGCTCTACCAATTGAACTACAGAGGACTTGTGCCGTACAGTTTATAACTGTGGCAATGAATGCCACAAAATCCACCTTTTTAACACACAGGATATCTTTTGACTGGCAGCATACATGTACTACAGGCTGTGGTGCGTCCACTACCATATCTTCGCTAGCATCACTTGTTTTCTCAATTATTTTAATCGCCTCCGCATAGGAGATTCGATTGACCTAACTTTTGCCACCTCAATCTCCTTCACCCTTACAGAGCACTCCAGGAACTCGGGATCATGATCCCCACCACAATTGCAACACCGTCGTCCTTCTACACACCGTTCTTCAGTATACTCTGTCCGTCTGAACACACTTGAAACATGGCCAAATCCATTACAAGTCTTACACTGCAATGATTTGTGGACGAAAGCTCTTACAGCGTATCTTACATAACCAAGCTTCACATGCGTAGGTATTTGCTCTTTATCAAAAAACAAAAGGACCGACAGACTTTCTTCTTTTTCTCCATTCACCCAGCGGGTCAGACGCCGGGCACCAACCACACCAGGAATTTTCTTCTGGTATTCAACCTGAACATCCGTCGTCACCCCTGAGATGACTCCTTTGACGGGTGCTCTACTCCGAAGTTCAAAACACAAAACGTATGTTGTTCAGAATCTTTTGAGGCTCACTGCAATCCTCCTCTGTTCTTCAGAAATACAATAAATCAAAATAAGATCCCTCCTGGTCACTCTGACAGATTCCACTTTTCCCAGCGCATACTTCACCATTTCCAACACCTCAAACGGGTTTCCCACATATGCATCCTTACTCAACAAACGCATCCCAACAAGAAGTGATTCATTATCATTCATACAAGTATCCTCCACTCCAATTTTAGACAATTTCCTTTTTGTTCCAGTTTTCGCTACTACTGTTGTCCATTCAGAACATTCGTCTTTGCTCGACGCACTGCTTGATTCGAACTCAGCAGCCACTTCCGCCATCTTTTTCCTGAACCAGAACCAAAGTCCTCTCAACAAAACTCTCTCTATCCTCTATCTTGTTAAGTGTGTTCAGGTGCATTGGCCGCGCCCACTAATTGGCCACACCTGATCTTAATGAGTGCCTGTTTCCTTTGAAATAGGGTCTGTATGAATAGACTAAAATGAACAGCTTTGTATGAGGTAAAAAAAACATGACATGCAAGCTCCATCTTGGTGGTGCAGTGGACTAATTCCATGGCTAGGGAGCAGAAGAACATAGGGTTGAATCTCACTGATGCTAGGCCACAATAAAAAATAAATAATGTGTTTGCATGATTAATGCCTAAGCAAATACATTTACATGTGTTAAACTAAGCTAGCAGTGTTATTAAAAGTCATATTGAAACATGTTCTCAGAATGTTACTTAATTACCTTCAAATAACCTATAATTTCTGTTTTCAGAACGTTAATAAAACCTCCCAGGAAAACGTTCAGGGAACCATAGAAAAACATTCTCAGAACCTCCCTGCAACCTAAAAATGACAAAACAGGTGAAAATGTAACTTCCGTTCTCAGAAAGTTAAAAAGAATATCAGTTTTAAACCAATGGGAAACCAAAAACGTACGTTCCCAACAACTTCAAAGGAACCAAATGTGCTAGCTGGGAAGGGTTTTGGACCCTCACCCTGGTCATTTGACTTTTAAACTCATGGGTATGCTCAAAATGGCAGTCCTGACTTGAATGGGCACTTTCGTCTATGGATTCTATTTCTATGGATTCTATTTCTCTTTGCGCTGTCAGTGAATAGCTAAAGGCCTTTCGCAAATGTCTAAATACAATCGCAGGAAATACGTTTGGAAAGCAAATGCCTACTGCTGAAAAGAGAAGACTAATTGATCAGTAGAAGCTAAAAAAATCCCAACAACTCAGACAAACAGCACTGTATTTCAAAGTAGCTCAGGCCTATCTTGAGACCATTGCCCGAACGGTGAGAAGCCTAGGCTACGCATAATCATGCTATCTTCATCATTGGGTGAGTCAGTGCCACTGGAAAGTTGACTTAGTGGCCTACTGTAGCCTATAATATTGTTGTCGGGGTGGGTGGGGGTTGTCTTGGGGGAGGAGTGTATAATGCAAACGTCTAGCAACCCAAAGGTTGCATGTTCAAATCTCATCAAGGACAACTTTAGCATTTTAGCTAATTAGCAACTTTGCAACTACTTACTACTAATCCTAACCTTAACCCTAAACCTAACCCTAACCCTAACCCCTAGCCTAGCTAACATTAGCCACCTAGCAACGTTAGCGTTGGCCACCAGCAAATTGGAATTCGTAACATATCATACAAATTGTAATTTGTAACATATCATACGAAATGGATGATGGACATCCACAAATTAATACATACCATACTAAATGTAACATATCATACTAATGTCCCGGATTTCCGTTTACTATGTTACGTCTACCCCTGAGTCCAGCTTGCAGCTACCCTATTGTGGAAACTCTGGCTTTTGAGCTCAGCTGCCGCTCAGCTGCCAGATTCACCCGATCTAGGTGTGCTGGTCGTTCAACTGCAGATAACATGAGGACTATAGTGTTCAAACGTTTGTAATATAGAACAAATTAACTTCACACAGATATAGATAGAAAAAAAGCTTAAGTTAAATACATGCCATACAAAAAGTGCTGGTGCCAATTAAGCTACAAAAGATGCAAAAGAATATGTACCAATTTGGTTCAGTGTGTCATCATCAGTACTGATGACTCATGAGCACTGTCCGTTTGTGTTGATATAGTCAGTGATTCCCAGAAGTATCCACAGAGATATGTGGAATCTGAAACACATCCCAGATCCTACACTGACTGACCAGATAACCCTGGCAACTGGATCTCAGGGGTCTCTGCAGCAGGTGCCATCCCCATGTAACGTTAGTAGAAGGCCCTGTGTCTTTAGCTAAATACATGAATCAGAAAAATACACATAGAAAAGACCCTTGATTTGGGAGAGAGTGTGTTGTTGGCACCTGACCAGATTCTCGCCTGCTGTGGTGACAGACAGTAGACCAATTTGCGGTATTAGGCCTACTTAGTAACCTAGTGAGTGTGACCTAAAAGTCTAACCTGCCCCAAGAGTTCTTACCCTGTAATCTCAGTGTTTCAGTGCCAGGGCATTGAAGAGGGAGGAAACATTTCCTTGTCACACAATAGGGTGTTGAAGTTCAAGTTTACATTACTTGAGCTCCATAAATTCACATCGCAGCTCAATGTTTATACAATGACACCACCAGACACAGAGAACACTGTGTGTTCATGTGCTTCAGTTATTTCGTGTGTGTGTGTTTGTGTCCTTTTGACCTTTAGAATATTTGGGTTCTCTGTACTTCTATATGGATCTAAATAAAGTATTGTAATTGTGTGTGTTGCAGGAGGCAAAATGTGCCTATGTGATAGCCCTGATGGCAGTGTACTGGTGTACTGAGGTACTGCCACTAGCTGTGACTGCTCTCCTGCCCGCTGTCCTCTTCCCTGTGTTTGGCATTATGGAGTCCAAGCAGGTACGCTTCCCTCAGACACTCACACACACACACAAAGACAATCTCTCACGTGTGTGCGTGTGTGTGTGTACAGATGTAAGATCTTAATTTGATCACCCTGATGCAGGAGAACTTGTAGTGTGTGTGAGGTCTAAAAAGGCTTCTGAAGTTTCTAATTTCCACTTTGAAATTACAGACTTGATTTTCCCTTACCAAAAATGTACACTACATGACCAAAAGTATGTGGACACCTGCTCGTCGAACATCTCATTCCAAAATCATCAAATCAAATCAAATGTTATTTGTCACATGTGCCAAATACAACAGGTGTAGACATTACAGTGAAATGCTTACTTACAAGCCCTTAACAAACAATGCAGTTTTTTAAATATAAAAATTTTAATGGCAAATAATTAAAGAGCAGCAGCAAAATAAAATAAGAGTAGGGACGTTATATACAGGGGGTACCGGTACGGAGTTGGTCCTCCCTTTGCTGTTAGAACAGCCTCCACTCTTCTGGGAAGGCTTTCCACTAGCTGTTGGAACATTGCTGCGGGGACTTGCTTCCATTCAGCCACAAGAGCATTAGTAAGGTCGGGCACTGATGTTGAGCGATTAGGCCTGGCTCGCAGTCGGCGTTCCATGGGGTTGAATGGGGTTGAAGTCAGGGCTCTGTGCAGGTCAGTCAAGTTCTTCCACACCGATCTCAACAAACCATTTCTGTATGGACGGGGGCATTGTCATGCTGAAACAGGAAAGGGCCTTCCCGAAACTGTTGCCACAAAGTTGGAAGCACAGAATCGTCTAGAATGTCAATGTATGATGTAGCATTAAGATTTCCCTTCACTGGAACTAAGGGGCCTAGCCCGAACCATGAAAAACAGCCCCAGACTATTATTCCTCCACCAAATCTTACAGTTGGCACTATGCATTGGGGCAGATATCATTTTCCTGGTATTCGCCAAACCCAGATTCGTCTGTCGTACTGCCAGATGGTGAAGCGTGATTCATCACTCCAGATAACGAATTTCCACTGCTCCAGTGTCCAATAGCGGCGAGCTTTACACCACTCCAGCCAACGCTTGGCATTGTGCATGGTGACCTTAGGCTTGTGTGCGGCTGCTTGGCCATGGAAACCCATTTCATGAAGCTTCCAACTAATAATTATTGTGCTGACGTTTCTTCCAGAGGCAGTTTGGAACTCGGTAGTGAGTGTTGCAACGGAGGACAGACAATTGAGCTTGTGTGGCCTACCATTTTGCAGCTGAGCCGTTGTTGCTCCTAGACGTTTCCACTTCACAATAACAGCACATACAGTTGACCGGGGCAGAAATTTGACGAACTGACTTGTTGGAAAGGTGTTATCCTATGACGGTGCCACATTGAAAGTCACTGAGCTCTTCCGTAAGGCCATTCTACTGCCAATGTTTGTTTATGGAGATTGCATGGCTGTGTGGTCGATTTCAAAAACCCGTCAGCAACGGGTGTGGCTGAAATAGCCGAATCCACTAATTTGAAAAGGTGTCCACATACTTTTGTATATAATGTATCAACCCCTACAAACATTTCCATTCATTATAATCCAAATAATAATTCACATTTCCTGTTGAGAGATTATTTTCCTGCTGTAGCAAACTGGCTGAAATTAAAATCCTACATCTGTATCAGGTGTGTATGCAGTACCTGAAGGACACCAACATGCTGTTTGTGGGCGGTCTGATGGTGGCTGTTGCCGTGGAGACATGGAACCTTCACAAGCGCATCGCCCTCAGGGTTCTACTCGTTGTGGGGGTGAGGCCTGCCCTGTGAGTAGCTAGTCACAGGTGTCTATCTTTATCCATTTTTCAGGTATCAAAACAGGATTGTCTGCAAAATTCAAGACCATGTAAGCCCACTGAGCTAAAGCCTAGCATTATTTCCTCCTTCTCCACTTCCTCTTTTCTCTCTCTGATACACCCTCCCCTCCCTGCTGTCCCCGCCAGTCTGATGCTAGGGTTCATGGGTGTGACAGCGTTCCTGTCCATGTGGATCAGTAACACAGCCACCACAGCTATGATGGTCCCCATTGTCCAGGCTGTCCTGGAGCAGCTCAACAGCCCACGAAAGGGGGAGAACCCCCTGCCCTTCCCCCAGAGCCAGGAGAATGGTATGACTCCTGAGGAAAAACTGGAGAACAGTTCAAACCCACAGGACAAACTTATCATCCAGGACGATCACATTCCACTGGAGAAACCAGCCACAGAGGATAAACTGGACTCCCCAGACAAACCAGTTCCTCAGGACAACTCTCTGACTGATGGGAAGCCAGGTGAGGGGCACTGGGCTGGGGCAGAGGTCAGGGCAGGGGGCTAGGTGAGACTGGAATACTGCCTTCTCACCAACACACCATAACACAGTTACAGTGAGAGAAAAAAGTATTTGATCCCCTGCTGATTTTGTACGTTTGCCCACTGACAAAGAAATTATCAGTCTATAATTTTAATGGTAGGTTTATTTGAACAGTGAGAGACAGAATAACAACAACAAAAATCCATAAAAACGCATGTCAAAAATGTTATAAATTGATTTGCATTTTAATGAGGGAAATAAGTATTTGACCCCTCTGCAAAATATGACTTAGTACTTGGTGGCAAAACCCTTGTTGGCAATCACAGAGGTCAGAAATTTCTTGTAGTTGGCCACCAGGTTTACACACATCTCAGGAGGGATTTTGTCCCACTCCTCTTTGCAAGTCATTAAGGTTTCGAGGCTGACGTTTGGCAACTCGAACCTTCAGCTCCCTCCACAGATTTTCTATGGGATTAAGGTCTGGAGACTGGCTAGGCCACTCCAGGACCTTAATGTGCTTCTTCTTGAGCCACTCCTTTGTTGCCTTGGCCATGTGTTTTGGGTCATTGTCATGCTGGAATACCCATCCACGACCCATTTTCAATGCCCTTGCTGAGGGAAGGAGGTTCTCACCCAAGATTTGATGGTACATGGCCCCGTCCATCGTCCCTTTGATGCAGTGAAGTTGTCCTGTCCCCTTAGCAGAAAAACACCCCCAAAGCATTATGTTTCCACCTCCATGTTTGACGGTGGGGATGGTGTTCTTGGGGTCATAGGCAGCATTCCTCCTCCTCCAAACACGGTGAGTTGAGTTGATGCCAAAGAGCTCGATTTTGGTCTCATCTGACCACAACACTTTCACCCAGTTCTCCTCTGAATCATTCAGATGTTCATTGGCAAACTTCAGACGGGCCTGTATATGTGCTTTCTTGAGCAGGGGAACCTTGCGGGCGCTGCAGGATTTCAGTCCTTCATGGCGTAGTGTGTTACCAATTGTTTTCTTGGTGACTATGGTCCCAGCTGCCTTGAGATCATTGACAAGATCCTCCCTTGTAGTTCTGGGCTGATTCCTCACCGTTCTCATAATCATTGCAACTCCACAAGGTGAGATCTTGCATGGAGCCCCAGGCCGAGGGAGATTGACAGTTATTTTGTGTTTCTTCCATTTGCGAATAATCGCACCAACTGTTGTCACCTTCTCACCAAGCTGCTTGGTGATGGTCTTGTAGCCCATTCCAGCCTTGTGTAGGTCTACAATCTTGTCCCTGACATCCTTGGAGAGCTCTTTGGTTTTGGCCAATGTGGAGAGTTTGGAATCTGATTGATTGATTGCTTCTGTGGACAGGTGTCTTTTATACAGGTAACAAGCTGAGATTAGGAGCACTCCCTTTAAGAGTGTGCTCCTAATCTCAGCTCGTTACCTGTATAAAAGACACCTGGGAGCCAGAAATCTTTCTGATTGAGAGGGGGTCAAATACTTATTTCCCTCATTAAAATGCAAATCAATTTATAACATTTTTGACATGCGTTTTTCTGGAATTTTTTGTTGTTAATCTGTCTCTCACTGTTCAAATAAACCTACTATTAAAATTATAGACTGATCATTTATTTGTCAGTGGGCAAACGTACAAAATCAGCAGGGGTTCAAATACTTTTTTCACTCACTGTACATGTACATGGCGATTTCAGACAAATATAGACAAAGGCTGTATGTCTATAGGCAACAGGCAAACTATAGCCTGCCTAGCTAACAACTTTGGCTGTGACCTCTTGGTAGTCCTGATTCCCAAACTTCTCTAATATATAGTGGTATTGTCTCCCCCTTCCTCTCTGTATACAGTGGTAGTGTCTATGGTCTTGAAGGAGGGGACTGAAGCAGAGGAGCAGGTTGGGGAGGATGAGGAGGAGAAGGAGAGGATGAAGATGTGTAAAGGCTTGATGTTGTGTGTGTGTTACGCTGCCAGCATCGGAGGCACTGCCACTCTCACTGGCACCGGACCCAACCTCGTCCTCACAGGGCAGATGAGCCAGTATGTACCACACACACACACATACACACACAGCGTATGTACCTCTCACAGACACACACCTCACAAATGTTAGTGTATATCCCATTATATAAATATAGATATGGGTGTCCGAATATATCGTGTTGATCAACTGACATTTGACGTTTTACATTTTTGAGAAGTGATGTTCTTAACAGAAACCCACTGTCAGACTCTTCCCTCAGAACGGTAACGTGATTAACTTTGCCTCGTGGTTCGCCTTTGCCTTCCCCACCATGCTGCTGATGCTGACGCTGGCCTGGCTCTGGCTCCAGGTCGTCTTCATCGGCTTCGAGTGAGTGACCTGGCCAGAGCATCACAGTGTATTACTTTAACTCTATTCTCTCCTCTCTCTCAGTTCAACCATGACATGATATTTGTAAAGGTTTGCATGGGTAAAATAGGGGAAATGTCTCTCTCACTCACTCTGCTTCTTATCTGACCTATTAGTGTAAATAATCTCTCTCAGTCTGTCTTTCTCTCTCTTTTGCTCCTCCACTCATTTCTCTCCTCTTTCTCTCCAGTCTGAAGCGTACGTGGGGCTGTGGTGCTGTGCAGTCAGAGAAAGAACATGCAGTGTATGATTTGATCCGTGAGGAGCATCGTCGTCTGGGGCCCATGTCCTATGGGGAGTTGAGTGTCCTGGGGCTCTTCATCCTGCTGGTGGTGCTGTGGTTCACACGAAGCCCAGGCTTTATCAACGGATGGGCAACCCACATCTTCAACACCAAGGCCGAGTATGTAATACACACCACACACTGAAATACTGGACACACCATACATACTCAACCACACAGACACACACACTAAACACTAGCAGGTGGAAATATACAGACACATGCACAGTAACACAAGCCTGATCTGAAGGATAGGTTATCTGAGTTGTCTTTAGACCTTTCTGTTAGAACAAGTGTCAGGACACGGGGAACAGGAGAAAACAAACACAGACGGACAAAACGTGTTGTTCAGACAGTAAACCGTCTGTGTTGCACCAATAAACATGTTCTGAACTTTGACACACAGAAACACAAACTTGTGCACGTACACACGCTCTCACCAGCACACACAAAGACTCACATAGGCACATGCACACACAGAGTCTGGGAAACATGATCTCACTAGAGTGAATGAGAGAGAAAGCACACTTCTTTATAACAAACAGATCGATGGGCAGGAGAGGCACACACTGCGTTCTCTCTTATCTGGTCATGTGACCTCCCTATCACAGAGGGCATATATGACGTCTGTCAATCTATGAATGGGCACATCACCATGGAAACAGGTGTTGATTATAACAGAATCCTGGATCAAACTGGGGCTAAGGTCATCAAACATGCTCTGTCCGTTACGTCAATCCATTCTTTATTTGTATTTGTATTTGTATTTGTAGTTATTAAGGATCCCCATTAGCTACTGTCAAGGCAGCAGCTACTCTTCCTAGGGTCCAGCAACATTAAGGCAGTTATTTACAATTACAAATATTACATGACATTACATTTCATAACACTTTTTTCACAACACATTAAGTGTGTGCCCTCAGGCCACTATTCTACTACCACATATCTACAATACAAAATCTATGCAGACGTGTGTGTGTAGAGTGCGTGTGTTAGCATGTGTATATGTATGAGTGTGTCTGTGCCTGTGTGTGTCTCTTCACAATCCCCGTGTTGAAGAGGTTGAGAACCTCATGGAATTATTGCTTGGTCATTCTACGAATTTGGTGCCTTTTGAGAAGTGTAACGTGGTCAACATTTTTTGGGATTTCACCTGATTTTAACATTCTGTCATAAAGAGCACATGTTCAACTTCATAAAAACAAATTTTCCCATCTCAAGAGGATCTTTTGTTGTTGTAAATGACTGTAGTAAGTGCCTATTAAGTGCCAAATAAAGTAGCAGCGTTGACCATAACAAGGTTGATGATTTCTTCTTAAATCAGCCATAAATCCCCTTGTGACAGTGGAAATGGAAGCTTCACACTGGGCACACACTGGTTGAGTCAACGTTCTTTTCACGTCATTTCAAAGAAATTACATTGAACCAACGTGGAATAGATGTTAAATTGATGTCTTGCAACAGGGAGTGGCAATTGAATGCAAGCTTCAAATTATTATTTTTTTGCCTGTCTATCTATGGTTAACAGGGTTGACGTGTTATGCTTGAGCCGCTCAGTTTTCCACCAAAAAACACCAGAAAATTGCCAGAAAAAGTAGAACCAGCTCACCTACTTTTGATCGATGATTTGACTATTATGTGTTCAATGTTTCTTTCAAAAAATATATTTAAAAAGGAATATCAGTTCACGTAATATGGTTGACAAAATGAGGGACAGATCACATGGAATAAATAATGATCTTCAGAAATGACTTTGTCAAAGCAACAAAATAACTAGGGCTTAACAATGATGGTGAAACTTGGAGACATGTTGGGATTAAATGGGTTAAAATCTTCCTAGAAGTGACACAGGGTTGACGGAGGGCCCGGAGGGCCCGGAGGTCTAAGGGCCCGGAGCTGGGTTTCTACTAAGCTAACATATGGAGTGAAAAAAATGCTGTACAATGATGAAAATATTACTAAAACATTGAAAACTTCATAAGGAAACAAATACTGTACTCACAGTTCTTGCATTCACACACAGTAAAGGATAAAACTTAGAAAAGTTAATGTTAGAAAACCGGAGATTCTCTGCAGAGCCACAAACTATAATTTCATGGGTTTAATTAAGAAAACAGTTATAATAGGATACGGATTGGGGTGACACAAAATCCTACAATAGGGTTGCCAATAGGAAAAAAGTAGTCCAATAGGAACCCAATAAGATTCTGATAGAGGTGACACAAAATCCTATAGGACTGTGAGAAACCTATAGGATCCAATATGATTACTTTTGATTTCCAATAGGAAAAAAGTAGTCCCAACAGGAACCCAATAGGATTCTGATAGAGGTGACACAAAATATTATAAGATTGTGAGAATCCTACAGGATTCTGTTGGAAAAATCACAAATCCTATAGGATTGTTTTACTAGGGCCTTCCCTTCTAACCTCCAACCTCTCCCCTCTACAGGTTTGTGACTGATGCCACAGTGGCAGTGTTTGTTGCCGTGCTGCTGTTCGTCTTGCCCTCTGAGCCCCCCCGCTACCTCTGCTTCTGGAGAATACAGAGCTTTGACACAGGTGAAATACACCCACACACACATACACACACTCACACTGTAGACACTGCTTGACATGTGCGTGCCCCCCTCCCCTCAGAGCCCCCCCGCGGCCCCACCCCTGCCCTACTGAGCTGGCAGGTGGCCCAGAGGAAGATGCCCTGGAGCATTGTACTGCTGCTAGGAGGAGGCTTCGCTCTGGCTAAGGGCAGCGAGGTGTGTTTATGTGTGTAACCTTGAGTGTGTGTGTGCATTTGTGCATGCTTGCGTGCATGCATGGGTCCGTACATGTGTATAAGCTTGAATGTGTGTGTATCCATCTAGGTGTCTGGTCTGTCGCGGTGGCTGGGTGATCAGATGATACCTCTCTGCTCCATCCCTCCCTGGGCCATCGCAGTCACCCTCTGTCTCCTCATCGCCATCTTCACTGAGTGTGCCAGCAATGTGGCTACCGCTACACTCTTCCTGCCCATCCTAGCCTCCATGGTACACCCACCCACCCACACTCAACCAACCACACACAAACACTTCTCTCTCTCCCCCTCGCTCGCTCTCACACACACAAACACACTCGATTGCTCTCTCAATCTGGGATCAAGTTTCCTTTTGATAGAATTGGAATGTACTGAGTAGAGCCGGTCAATATGGGATCTGAGCCAGGCCTACTACTGAAGAGTCTCTCAGAGAGCGAGAGAGAGGGAGAGAGAGAATGTATGAATGAAATAGATAAGCAAATAGCAAGAGAGGACAGAGAGAAAGAGCTGAATGAGTGAAAAAGTCAACTCAGAGAGAGAGAAGAGAGAGATAGAGAGAGAGGTTATTTACACTAATAGGTCACATTAGAGGCCAGACATTGAGAATGTAGCAGCACTGTGTGTAGAGCTCTCAGCTCTGTTCATTCAGTGAAGAGAATCTTTGATAATTGAGCCAACACAGAGCCACACACACTTTCATTCATCCTATTCACATCCACATTGCAGGATAGTAGGCTACTACTTGCATGCGCACGTCCATACATACGTATGTGCTGGCTAATATGTGTGTTCTATTGCAGTCCCAGTCCATAGGAGTGAACCCACTGTATGTGATGGTACCCTGTACCCTCAGTGCCTCCTTTGCCTTCATGCTGCCTGTGGCCACGCCTCCTAACGCCATTGTGTTCTCTTATGGATACCTGAAGGTGTCAGATATGGTGAGAGCCCCACTTTTGACCTCGGCTACTATAGGTACCTATTATACAGTAGGCAGTATGTATAATAAGGTAATGTATGTTGGCATATATTTCACCCTGCCACCCCACCCCAAACCTAAACCCCCTCCTCGCACCATATTCTTTATCCACCTTCACCACCATCCCCTCAACCTACCACCAACTCAACTTTACCCCCCTTTCTCTTCTCCAGGCTAAGACAGGTATAGTGATGAACATCCTTGGGATCCTGTGCATCACTCTGGCCATTAACAGCTGGGGTAGAGCCATTTTCAACCTGGACACGTTCCCCTCCTGGGCCAACACCACCGCTACCATCACCACAGGAGGATGAGGGGGGAAAATGACCCTCAAAAACACCATCATACGCCCCTGTACTGCAATACCACTGCTACCGATGCCAAAAGGGGGATGAGGGGGAGGAGGAAGGGGGAGTATTATCAAAAGACCACTGATCTTCCTCCAACAGCACTACAAGCCTCGCTGGGGCAACAGAGGGCTGGCCATGGGAACACTGGCTACTCTGATCTGGTACACACACACACACACACACACACACACACACACACACACACACACACACACACACACACACACACACACACACACACACACACTGAGACAGTTTCCAGCTGTGCCACCACCATACTGGTTTATTATCAGTGTATTTGATACTTATTTGATACAGTTATTATTGTTATTATTATATTATATGGTAATGAGCCTAGACAGGAGCCTTAGAGAACTGGGATGATAAATAACTTGTAAAAGCCTAGACATGCTGTAATACTGTAACTTACTGTATATTTGTATTAGTGACAATATTGTTATATCAATTTATATCATATAAATATATTATGTTACACAATATTATGATAAATGCTTTTCAGTAAGTGTAATAACCAGAACAATTTAGCCAAAAACCTGGTTGCCTCTGCCAGGAAGCTGACACTTCGCCACAAGTGGATAATCTTCCAGCAAGACAATAACCCCAAGCACACATCAAAATCCACAAAGAAATTGTTAATTGACCACAAAATCTACATTTTGCAATGGCCATTTCAGTCTCCAGACTTGAACCCATTGAAAACCTGGGGTTTGAAAAAAAAAGAAGAAAAAAAAGAAAAGAATGTATGCACTCACTAACTGTAAGTCGCTCTGGATAAGAGCGTCTGCTAAATGACTAAAATGTAAATGTAATGTAAATGTTTGAATTGAAGAGGGCAGTCCATAAGCGCAGATGAAGGATATAAATGTAGCATACAATATAGCTCAGTATTTGTGTTATATATTGTATACAGTATTTTTTGCTCATCTTTATCAAGAGTACAAATAATTATGGACCCCACTGTATGCATTACTACGACATACACAAATCTCATTTGGATAAGAATTATTAGACAAATGTTTTGAAACCTAGTAGGTCTTTTTTAAGTTAGTGAAGAACAGCACAACAGTAACTTATTTTTACTGTCTCGAAGACAAAGCCCCCCCCCCCCCCCCCCCCCCCCCCCGCCCCACCAACGCCAAAAGATAAATGACTTATCTATTCACTCAAGTCTGAGAACATGACTGACTACAAAAAAAAACTGTGTCGATCTCATACTGACAGCCTTCAGTCAAATAATCTCAAAAGTGTATTTCATCTTTCCCCTCTTAGTTAAGTTATTGGATGCTTTGGTTTAATTATTTTTTTAAACATGTTTTATAATTCAGAGGATTGTGAGAACAGGAGGGTGCATTGAACTATGGCCCTGTCTGTCTGGGGCAGGTACAACTGTGGGAACACAGTGACATTTCAGCTCAGCAGGGGGCCAGAGGCAAGAGCATTATAGCCCTGATAGTATCAATCACCAATCAAGCTAAATCAACATATAACCTGGACCCCAGGATGATAAATGCTGCCTTATTTCCATGATACATATGTCTACACGCCGAGGCATCATGCCCATAGGGGCACAGGGGCACATGCCCCCTCAGATTTGATCTGTTAAAAAAATTAATGTAAAACATTTATTTTAGTTGTTGTTTCTCTGTAATACTACTAGCCAACTAGCAATTTTATGAAGTTGGCTTTAGCTATCCCAGATAGGTTCCCAATCTCCCAACCTCACAACTAGCTACCAATAAGCCATTTCAGGCTATTAATCAAGTTAGAGTAGCTAGTTTGTCTAAGTATCTTAGCTGGTATGCCTGCTGGCAAGGTTGGTAGACTTTAGAAAAGTAAGCAATAACTAAATGTATTGAATAAGACTCGCATTCCTTTCAATCTTTTACCCAGATTTTAGCAGAGATGCAGAGAAGCATATTTTGTTTCTTTAAAAAAAAGAAACACCAGTCTGGAGGATACAGACAGCTCAAGAGGTATGATTATGTAACAGATGTCCCACGAAGACAAGAAGCCTGGTCTCGACACCAGTGTAACAGATGTGATCAGACAAGCTAAATCACTTCTATGCTCGCTTCGAGGCAAGCAACACTGAAGCATGCATGAGAGCATCAGCTGTTCCGGATGACTATGTGATCACGCTCTCCGTAGCCGATGTAAGTAAGACTTTTAAGCAGGTCAATATTCACAAGGCTGCAGGGCCAGACGGATTACCAGGACGTGTACTCTGAGCATGCGCTGACCAACTGGCAAGTGTCTTCACTAACATTTTCAACATGTCCCTGACTGAGTCTGTAATGCCAACATGTTTCAAGCAGACCAGCATAGTCCCTGTGCCCAAGAACGCTAAGATAACCTGCCTAAATGACTACCGACCCGTATCACTCACGTCTGCATCCATGAAGTGCTTTGAAAGGCTGGTCATGGCTCACATCAACACCATTATCCCAGAAACCCTAGACCCACACCAAATTGCATACCACCCAAACAGATCCACAGATGATGCAATCTCTATTGCACTCCACACTGCCCTTTCCCACCTGGACAAGAGGAACACCTACGTGAGAATGCTATTCATTGGCTACAGCTCAGCGTTCAACACCATAGTGCCCTCAAAGCTCATCACTTAGCTAAAGACCCTGGGACTAAACACCTCCCTCTGCAACTGGATCCTCGACTTCCTGACGGGCCGCCCCCAGGTGGTAAGGGTAGTTAACAACACATCTGCCACGCTGATCCTCAACACGGGGGCCCCTCAGGAGTGCGTGCTCAGTCCCCTCCTGTACTCCCTGTTCACCCATGACTGCATGGCCAGGCACAACTCCAACACCATCATTAAGTTTGCCAATGACACAACAGTGGTAGGCCTGATCACTGACAACGATGAGACAGCCTATAGGGAGGAGGTCAGAGACCTGGCCGTCTGGTGCCAGGATAACAACCTCTCCCTCAATGTGATCAAGACAAAGGAGATGATTGTGGACTACGGGAAATAAAAGAGGACTGAGCATGCCCCCATTCTCATCGATGGGACTGTAGTGGAACAGGTTGAGAGCTTCAAGTTCCTTAGTGTCCACATCACCAACAAACTATCATGGTCCAAAAACAGGCATCACCGCCTGATAAGGCAACTGCTCGGCCTCCGACCGCAAGGCACTACAGAGGGTAGTGCGTACAGCCCAGTACATCACTGGGGCCAAGCTTCCTGCCATCCAGGACCTCTATACCAAGCGGTGTCAGAGGAAGGCCCTAAACATTGTCAAAGACTCCAGCCACCCTAGTCATAGACTGTTCTCTCTGCTACCGCACGGCAAGCGGTACCGGAGCGCCAAGTCTAGGTCCAAAAGGTTTCTTAACAGCTTCTACCCCAAGCCATAAGACTCCTGAACAGCTAATCATGGCTACCCAGAATATTTGCATTGTCTGTACCAAAGAGGTCGTTCGGACAACAGAGTGGGATAACTCACCTTTTAAATTAGTCCAGATGAGTCCCTGGGACGTCCTTGTATCCACCACAGGATGCAACAGATTACTCAACAGGGTAACACAGAATGTCAACTGTGGTACACAACCATATAAAAAAGCAAGCTGAAAGCTAGAACTTACAAGATGAGGCTTCAATTGGGTGCAACAGTACCAAGAGTGGAAGGCTTCTGTATAGAACATCCATCTCATGATGGTTGATAAGTAAGTATGTACAAGGTTCACGGTGCGCTCACTTATCTGGGTTGAGAGAGCGTGCCGTGTCTAGAACCACAGACCCCACTGATGGTGTTGACATAAAATGTAGTCTGTAGCCCAACTTGCAGCAGCACAGATAGAGTCCAGGGAGGCCCCTCTGAACAGGGCCCATGAAGTGGCCATACCCCTGGTGGAGTGTGCTACCACGCCGTCTGGGGTTAGTCTACCTGCTGCAGTGTATGATTTTGACACTGCATTGGTAATCCAATGTGCCAGTCTCTGCTTCGAGACAGCGCACCCTTTGGTGTTCTCCCCATAACACACAAAAAGCTGTTCTGTTTGACGATCAGCTCTTGTTGCAGCAAGATATGCACTCAATGCCCTAATCGGGCAAAGTGTATGCAACTCACGACTCTCTTGTGAGGAGTGAGAAGGCGGGAGAAATGTCGCTATGATTAAGGGCTGGTTAGCATGTGATGATAAAGGCACCTTTGGTAAGAATGCTGGATTTGGCCGAAGCACTGCCTTACATTCACCTTCTGCTAAAGTGAGGCATGAAGGATGGGTAGAAAGCGCATGTGTACTGAACAAAAATATAAACTCAACATAAAAATGTTGGTCACATGTTTCATGAGCTGAAATAAAAGATCCCCAAAAAGTATCATACGCACAAAAAGCTTATTTCTCTCAAATATTGTGCACAAATTTGTTTACATCCCTATTAGTGAGCATTTCTCCTTAGCCAAGATAATCCATCCACCTGACAGGTGTGGCATATCAAGAAGCTGATTAAACAGCATGATAATTACACAGGTGCACCTTGTGCTGGGGACAATAAAAGGACACTCTAAAATGTGATATTTTGTCAAACAACACAATGCCACAGATGTCTCAAGTTTTGAGGGAGCGTGCAATTAGCATGCTGACTGCAGGAATGTCCACCAGAGCTGTTGCCAGAGAATTTAATGTTCATTTTTCTACCATAAGCCGCCTCCAACGTCGTTTTAGAGCTTCTTCACCTGCGGGATCGTCTGACACCATCCACCCAGACAGATGATGAAACTGAGGAGTATTTATATCTGTTATAGGGCACTTTTGTGAGGAACAACTCATTCTGATTGTCTGGGCCTGGCTCTCCAGTGGGTGGGCCTGGCTCCCAAGTGGGTGGGCCTTAGCCCTCCCAGCCCCTGCCCAGTCATGTGAAATCCATAGATTAGGGCCTAATTTATTTATTTATATGAACTGTAACTCAGTAAAATTGTTGACATTGTTGCATGTTGCGTTTATATTTTTGTTCAGTATAATTCTCCAACACACTTTGCTGAAACAATAGCCAATAGAAAAGCAGTCTTGACTGAGAGCTCACATAGCTCAAGTGAAGACAGGGGCTCAAATGGTGGGCTCATAAGTGATCATAGGACAACATCTAACTCCCGTGAGGGTACTGTAGGAGCCTTGGGGGGCCGTAGCCTGCCATATACATTTTCAATATACACTACCGGTCCAAAATTCAAGGGTTTTTCATTATTTTCACTATTTTCTACATTGTAGAATAATAGTGAAGACATCAAAACTATGAAATAAAACATATGGAATCATGTAGTGATGCGCCATCCTATCTGGTTTGGGCTTAGTGGGACTATCATTTGTTTTTCAACAGGACAATGACCAAACACACCTCCAGGCTGTGTAAGGACTATTTTACCAAGAAGGAGAGTGATGGAGTGCTGCATCAGATGACCTGGCCTCCACAATCCCCCGACCTCAACCAAATTGAGATGGTTTGGGAAGGAAAAGCAGCCAACAAGTGCTCAGCCTATGTGGGAACTCCTTCAAGACTGTTGGAAAAGCATTCCAGGTGAAGCT